CGACTTGAATACTTCTCACATTTTAACTTTCTGGCAGATTTGTGCTAAAACTTCATCGTTGCAGTCCTTCCTTTTAGACAGATTGAGTAGAAATATAGCTTGATTATAAATTACCAAATTTTATTCATCGAGATTTCTCCGTTCCCACCGTGCGCCCCTTGTTTCAGACATATTTTGACAAGTTAAAGTTTATTTTGGTTCAAAGTTCACTTCGCTACAGAAGGCCGAAGATTTTATTGGTTAATTTATAACAGCCGATGACAGCACGAAATCTCAGTGTGCGCACTCAGGCATGAAAGGCCAAGTGGGCGGTTTTCAAAATCCAGGGGTTTGTCTGCAAGTGTTTCCTTCCTTCCTTCCCCTCCCCCTGGCCCCTCTCTTACTCGCTCCATTTTTCGCACTGTAATTCTTTGCTCCTGAACCCCACAGAAATGATTGCTACGCAAGCTATTTTAACTCTGTTATTTCAAACTCTCCAATGTTTCAAACAAACTCTGTTTCCTCTGGCTTAAATTCAAACCTGTTTATTTCACACTCCAATGATAGAGTTTAAAAATAAACATCTGACCAGCTCAGAATATGGCAAGAGCACAACAATTAGGACATTCAGGACATTTTATCTTGTAGTGTGGCCTGTCAGTAGGCTCTCCGCTGGGACTCAAAGGAAGGAAGAGGAACGCAAAGAATTTAATTCATCCACAGGTGTTTCAGATCTTAAGGTCTATAGAAAATTACCGGTACCCCTTAGCTAACAAAAGCATGCTGAATTATCTGCCTTAAATGTCAAAGTTTTTACTTCACAATGCTTTGAACAAAGGTCGTATTTAAAGCTTGAGTCATTCCACTATCATGTCACCTCATATTGACATTATTATCAATAGTTGTATTTTAAAGATTTTCATTTTGATGCTAACACAGTAAATTCAAACCCCACAATATTTTGAACAATGTAGAGATGAAAATGAATTTAGACTATGCTATTATCTGTTTCAGACACAGGGTTATTACCAACCTTTATTTAGAGGGTCGTCTGGATTTGGTTCCTGTAAACAATAAAACAAATTTCATTGAATAAACTCATGTTACAAAGAGGACCATCAAACACTTGCCTTTTTTTTGTGCATTTGTTTGATGACTATGAGAAGAGGGTTCTTAATATGAAAACAAAATGGTAAGCATTTTTATGTTGTAGAAAGACTATTCCCTTGTTTATGTGAAGAGCCTTCACTGGATAGTCATAGAATAAAATGCAAAAAAATGCTAAGGTTGAAAGCTGTATCAGTTAGAAATGACAAACAGCTGTTATTGCAGTTCTCAGCAGTTTGAAATACAAACAAGGCAACCAGGCATTCCATATTCTGTTGACCTAGGTGTTGACCTTTTCACTTCACTCATGTGCCTTCTTCACAAAGAATATGCCTTACCAGGCTCAACTGAAATAATGCCAAATTTAACAATCTTGAATGTTATTCGTCTGCCACATGGAAAAAAATCTTACTGTATTTTACCCTAGTGTCAGCTTCAATTTGTAAGTTTCCTGATTTGACAATCATAGCAATATTTTCCATAGATCTTGCATATTTTGCACAGACCTTGTCAAGAACATCATTTAATGGAACAGTTTAAAAAAATGCCCTACCAAAAATTGTACACTAAAAGCTATACTTCTTTAACAGCATTAGCACAAGCAGTTGACATACTGATGGTGTGAGTAAAGACAAATTACAGAACATCTCAGAAATCAAAATAAACAAGTGATTTTCCTTTCTTTTCCACACAATGTTTTCTCAAAGAAATAGAAAACAATTTTTCCTTTGTTTCTATTGAGTTATAGAAACCAAGTCATGAAAGTTTGTGAGAATGAGAAATGCTCTGGCGTTTCTCATTCTCCTAAACTTTTACTTGTATTCCTCCAACTCAATAGAACACAGAAAATATTGCTATTCCTGACATAATTAATGCATCAGTTGTTTTGGACAATCTGCAAGGCTCAAAGGTGTCAAGAAGTGTAACAGAAAGACATGGTTTTAAGTCAAAACTCTGATAAACGACTTACCAAAAACAAATACTGTAATCCAATTATTATTGCATTTATTGTAAGAACAGGTTTCCAGTCTTCCCTGAAAAGAAAAACATGCATTTAACAACTTTTGTTTGCTTAACAAACCTGAACTAGGATATTGATGATGGTGAGTAAATTATTAGTTCTTACAATAAAAGACCTCATATATCATTACACAAAATTTTCATATTTTTTGTTACCAAAATTTAATGTCCCAAAAATCAAAGTGCACAGGTTTCAATAAGGGCTGGGTACTAGCTGTGAGGATAATTTTGCTTGCCTGGTTTGACCATCCAGAGAAAAGTTTTCCTTATAAAGAAGTTCAGTTCAAAAGCGTTTTGCCCTCCTGTGAAAACCTGTTGCCTTCCTGCTTTAAACAATAATGAAACCCTGAAAGGATCCTTTAAGAAAGGACATTTTGAAGATTCTTCAAATTTGTGACAATTAAGTGTCAGGAAGTACTACTCTTCCAAACTGAGGAAATTGAGCTGTCACAAAAAGTTCGCGTCATGAGGTAGTTTTAAGCAGGGATCACCTGTGCAAATCAAAGAGAGCGAAAAGCATTTCTATATATAAATGGAATTACTGGTTAACACCATAATTCTTGCTCACCTCAAAATGTTTAAGCAAACATTTCCTTCTAAGTCAATATTTGGATGATAAACCTGAAAAAAAAAAACAGTGTATTTAAATCCTTATTATCCATAATTACTGCAATACCAACAAGCCATGAACAAACTTAATTAAGCATTAAGGGATTGTAAAATATAGCCAGAATCAAAAACTTAAAACCCAGCTATATTTAACCATAACCAGTGATTTTTAACGATAACGGTACATAACTGAGTTATTAATGTTTTCACTGAAAAGCCCTCTTCAGAGGGAGCCAAATTATTAATAAAGTTTGCATTGCACCTCTCTGCACCGTTTTGTATTGTGTTTCAAGCATAAGCTTCAGAGCATACAACATAAGGATTGAATCACTGCAGGCACAGGTGAAATAAAGTTTTACAAAAATTTACAGTACACTTATAAGTAAACATGTAATTTTCATGACAAAAAATAGGGAATTAAAAAAAGAGCAGATAAAGGTGACAATATCTCAGTATTTTGACTGTACAACCCAACTGTTACTAATATAATAATAATACTAATAACAATAATGGCTAAATATTTACAACACAGCATGGAGTAGCTCTTTTCGTGGTTCACTAGCAAACAAAATAAATGAAATGCAAAGAACATCCTATACCTTTGTTTCACACTTGACTTTAGGAGCATCATGGGGATATCCAGGACCAACCTAGGAAAAATAACAATTGAAAAAAAAATTTCGGTTTCTGAAAAAAATATGCTTGAAATTAAGTAGGTTACACTAAGGATTTCCCACGTTGGGTACTGGATAAATTAGTTGAACTGAACTGTCTACAATTGCCAACATATATTTTTATCATTCGATACATTTTTTCCCACTTTTCATTGGCTGAGAGCCCAGCATGTGACCTGCAAAATAATAACTGCTTACAAATGGTCTGCTCATGCATAGCACCGTCTAAATGTGTTTCACTGCAAATAATATTCTGCCCATGCATAATTGAAACCACACTTGAGTGAAAAATGGCAGAAAGCTTCCTTGAGCTGTTGGAGAGTGAGTTCAATATGAAAACAAACTTGGTGATCGAATGATAAAACAATTATTGAACTCGGTTATTGCACGATATTGTGATTTGTCAGTGTCTCACAGATCAATTATTTGCCTCAGCTTTCGGCTTCTGCAAAGAATTGATTTGCTCACCACTGACAAATGACAATACTTTGCTCAACCTTGTCCAATAATTATTAATTATTGCACCAGTAGTGAAAGCCACCTGGAAAAAAACAAGAACTTAAGTACACTAGGTGTTGAATGGACTTACCTTAAAACTAAACACAAATCTCCCGTATTTGTAAAATCCCTAGAGATACAAATAATAAAGCGGAAAAATCAGAAAAATATATCATAATTAAACTATGGTAACCTTCCAAATGTAAAAACCTTCCTAGTAGGAGGTGGTTCCAAGGATTATTAAGGAAGGGAATAGAGATTTTGGGAAGAGGAAAAAAAGGAGAGGGGAGTGGGAGGGAACTGCTTTCCTGAGACTTAAAAGTATACTCCATTGCATAAAGAAAAAGGATAATAAACAATAGCGTTCATTTAGCACAAAAAATATATGCGCAGATAATTGTCCTCGGACATTATCTGTTCTGAAAAGCGAACAGTTTTAAGAGAGTGTAGTTCAGAAAACTGTGAGCTTTGAGGAATAGATATATGTCCTGCCAAGGACAAATATCTGAACATATTTTCACACCAGATGGAGGCTAACTGTGTTTATTATCCTTCAAATATTTTTCACAACATCCACAGTTTTGAGAATTGGGTAATATCACTTGGATATTTCCCAGTTTTAGCTGGGGCAAATTCAATTACAACTGTGCATGAGTGAAAATATTATTAGTTTATAATAATAATATGATTATTCATAAACAGTTTTTCATCCACCAACAACATTGCTACATTGTTGAGTGGAGTGGTCACATGAATAGAGAAAAACCATGACCTACAGATGCTGGTTTGGACAGCTTTTTAAGTTTCCTCCAACTATTAATGTCTTTCTTACCTCATCAGGTGAAATGACAAGTTTAAAATTTAGAAGATCATCTGGATCAGGAAATTCTGTCTCGCATGTTTTTGGCAATTCAAGGTCACGTATATCTGAAATACAACACATTATCTTATTCTAAATGGTACCTTTTGATCCTCCTTTGATGACAGCCGCTATATGAAGGTGTGCTGGTCTGGCTAAGAACTCAACACAAGAAAACGGACCAGGCCCAACCAACATCACACTACTGTTCCTCCAATTCAGTAGCAAGGGTGATGAATGGTAAATGCGAGACTTTGTGAGAAGGCAAGACTAGTGTATTTCTTTCCAAGCCTGAGACATTTTAACTTATTCAACTGTGAGACTGAGACTTCAAGGTGTGTTAAAAGGGAGTTCAAGATGTTCAGATTCTAACTAACTCAGTACTTTGACACTTTCTTAACCTTGCAAAAAATCGAGACTGCGAGACACACATAACTGCTTAAAAGAGACTACAAGACCCATGAAATTCCATGAAAATTTTGCGAGATCCATGGATTTTGAAGGACCATTCAACACCCCTAGTAGCACATTTTTTAAAATCTTTTTTGCTGCAGATTCCTGTTTTATTCCCAAATACTCTAGTATAGGATAGTATCCAGGGAACAGATCAGGTGGAATTTGATTTTAACATTCATTACACCTGTTAACTGGTATTGGTGGAAACAAACAAAGAATTTCCCATTTCTAGTTTTAATTCAAATTATATGGACAATTTTTACTTTTTAAAAATAATGCACTGTGATGGGTCTGTTTCTGATAATATATTTTTTTGAAAATACAGAGATTGATACAAACCACCACTGATCAAGCAGGGCACTAAAATGATAATGAATTCTAATTACAAACTGACGTAACATTCAAGCTAATCTCGTGTGAAATATGATTCGGCTTATTGTGGATTCACTCAATTCTCCTACTTAGGCTTGTAAACAAAACAAATTCCACACCGTGGATTACCTTGTTTCATGTTATATGGCAAAAAACGAGAAAGAATGCTGCTCAGAGTCCAAGATGACAGAAACGAAAAAACATGCAAACGTCAAACTGTACAAATCGAAATTATTATTTTTGGTACAATTTTCGAGAAGATTATTCAACTCAACAACAGAACTAGTTCAAAACCTGTCAAGATTGAGTTCAGGACAAGACGAAGTAGTGAGCATGGCTGATAAAGAAGGTTATGATTAGACTACAGACTTCTTAGCTGATCATCCCTTATCCCTACACGAGTGTAATCAATAACAAAACAGATCATTTAGCGTGAAATGAGGAAAATATATGATGCAATGGCAGCACAATAAAAGCTACTTCTCTAAGCAAAACCACACCATGCCGCACCTTTGGTTATCCTTAGTTGTGCTGCAGAAGCCCTCTTTGTCCCTGCTTTCGCACCTTCACCTTCCTTCTTTTGTTGCTTCAACGAGAAAAGCTTGATCATGGCTCTAATACGATCCACAAGGACAACAAAACCACCAAATTCCCCTATAACTCTGTATCGATTCTAAAAGAGGAACCAGTCGTCAAGACTCAGCGAAAATTTCACTTCGGTACCGGCTCACATGATGCACTCTGATTGGCTTAAAATTTCCGGATAGTTCTCGCCAAATGTTCGGAAAAAATCGGAATTAGGACGATTAATTATTGAGTGAATCTCCTTGTTTCCAGTTTATCACGGTCAAAGGACGCGGTTACCAAAAAATGGCGCGCTTTTTGAGTTCTTCGCGCGAGCGGCACACCAAGTGGCGAGATGCAGAGAAAGAATTTTCTGCGGCCGTCAAAAAAGTTTCTTTTTTAAACTAATTCTCGGTGCCTCTTTCAGGGTAAGTCATTATGATAATGAACAAACAACATCTATTCTCTTCCCCATTTTTCTTTTTTGCTCAAATTGCAGCACAACAACGAAAGTGAAAGCAGTTTTAGTTCGGGAAGGATTACATGTAGTACACTTCTAACAATTTTGTCATCCGTCTCCCTCGAGTGAAGTTAATTTGTTTCTCCAGAATTGTTTACAAAATTCTGATATGGAATAGCTCATTAACGTTAATTTATTTAGGTTCTCCACAAAATATTTTCAAAATAGCTAATTTCTTTTATTTCAAGGAATTTTTTTCTTATTTACTTACATATTTCACCCAGACTCCTGTTTCGTGTCTCGAAAAGCCAGTTCATTGAGATAAGTTACTTAACACCATGTCACGATCAGCCACAATGTTCCACTACATGAAAAGCGTGAAGAGAAGCAAAATCAATAAACATGGAATTTTCAAAAGGGCAAGAATGGCCCTGAATGATATACTTGACCAAACAACGCCCAGTCCTTTAAGAAGTCGTCTTGGTTTGTTCGGGTTACTGCCTCGAGAGATGCGCTTCAGGGTTTTTGGCTTCACTCCACTGGCCGATCTTGGACAGCTTTCACTTGCATCAAGACTATTCACAGACGAGATAATGAATTATCTTCACAACAACGAAGCTTTGCTCGTTATTGTCCCAACCATGCATCTCAATAGTGACGAGGAATCTTCACAGGTTTTCGTGACTTTGAAAACTGAGTACTGTTGGAATCATTTCAAAGATCTGGGTAGGTATTACGAATTTTTGATTTGATTTAAGCTTATTTTCACACTTAACCTTTTTCAGAAGTCGTTTGGGGGAGGACGAAGGTTTGAGTGTTAATTGTTATTTCGGGGCCTCACAGACCTTTTACGTGTTTTGAAATCTATACAAGAACCAAATATGTTTGCAGTTTATTATGATCATGACTACCCAAGTTTGACTGTTCCTATTATTTTAACAGCCCACTACTTTTTCAGGGATCCTGCTCAAAAGGGCAACATGCCTCTATTCAACGAAAGAAAGGTTAAAAGAAGTCGGAATCATTTTGGATAAGGTACTCAATTACAGCACAATACCTTCTTTTGTAAATTGTGTGACTAAAGTAAGTTTTGGGTGCTTTGCTATTTGGGCACTTTGCTTTTTTGTTAAATTTGGAACTCGTCATGATCAGGCATTGTTTTGATAAGTAAGGTCACTCAGGTGTTTTCGTTCTGAAAAACCCCTGTATAATCGTCTATTAATCCCTCCTAACAGTATCTAGTTGACATAAGAAATATGAATTTCCAGTAAAACCATGCATAAAACAGTCCCAAAAGAGCTCTCCAAAGGTCGTAGACCGATTAACTGGAAAACGTTACCTGTTAAAAAGAAAACCCTCGGTTTATATAGCTCAAGTACTGAGACTGTGTCCTTAGAAATATTTTGTAAGCATATGTTATTTTATTGATGTAAAAATTTGGGTCTGTAGCTTAAAGACACACACTCAAAAATCTGTACCACCCTTGGAAGTGACATAGCCTACAGCTGCTACGGAAAGTTTCTCCACTCCTTTGTCGCAGGATGGGAAGATGATGAGAAATTTAAAGCTTACCTTGCTGTCAAAGGTAACTTTTCTTCTTACCCTCGGATTTACCGAGTAGCATTGCTACTAATTTCTTCGAGCTACCTAATGATAGAATTCAGATAATAATGAAAGAAATATAAGACCGAAGCAGATAAATTGATAAATTTACAGAAGGTGTCTAAGTCTGTAACAGTGCGATATTGATTTGGAAGTGCGTTCCACGATTTGGCCGCGTGGTAACGAAAAAGAATTAAGGCGATAAGTAGCTAAATGTACATATTTAGGTAGGCTTTTGGTACACAGACAGACGAAGAGACAAACTATCCATCGTAGTTGTAGCATGTAAGAATTTGAAAAAAAAGGAAACTGAATGAAAGTTTTTTAATGTCCAGAGAGATAAGAGGTCCAATTTTCAGTACATCATTATTTGATTTCAGTTTCTACGTCTGTTAGGGCGGTCTAGTGCACAGAACGAATTCATGGTGCAAATTACCCACTTGCAGCAATTTTAATCATAACGGAATACATTTTTAGGGGCGTCGTGTTTAGATGATAGAATAAGGCAAGTGTTACGCTCCACACCGGGATCGCAACCATGGTACGAGAGATACATCAGAGTGTTCTGCAGAGAAATATTCTTGGACAAGGCTAGTGACTTCGTTGAGAAAGGATTTTGGCTTTGTAAAATCCTGAAGCCATGGCCCCTTGTGTTCCAGGCTCGACTTCTTTACATCCTGTATGGACCTGTTAATGACGATAACGGTAAGTGACTTCTCTAAAAGGAAATCCTACACTGAGGTCGATCTATCTTGTTTAGTCCAGTGATCAACTTTCATTTTCAACTTTTGCTCCGAAGAAAGATGTTTTCTAAGACTGATTGCAAAACAGGACTTCAGTTTCGAGTTTCAAATTTATTTCAACACAGAGAGAAATCCACAACGTAAAGATTACACTGTTTGATAATTTGGAGGGATCACTGGTTGAAAATCTCGACATGCTCGTAGGATATAAACCCTAGAACTGTAACAGACCCGGTATGTGGTTGGTGAATAAGCTAGCTCAGCTTAACTCAGAACTCGTATATATTTAGCTCCTAAACTGAAAGTGTTGATAAAAAAATTTATATGTGAGCGGTGGCCAAAGTAGCAAGAGCTTTCTGGTTGGCCACCGCCATGGTAAAGTAAATGGCAGCATAAAAAAAAAAATTAATTCAGCTATATAAGTTACCTGTAGATCTACATATACTACATTACAACATACATACAATCTAACAATCTCAGGTTTACATTACGCATTTGATTCAAACTTTGCCATGAATGATTAAACGACATGGATAGTTTATTTTGCAGGAACTCTAGATTGGAATACGGTGGAAAGTTGCCCAACATATTTCGGTGTTGAAGATGTGGAATTGAAAGAACTTGCAGACGCCTTGAAGATCCTGCATGTCTACTGTGACACCAAGGACTGGAACGAAGATGATTTTATCAGTGTCTTTGAAGAATTGACCGGTGCGTATTATAACTTTTTCCGTTACTTAAGAACGGAAAGTTATTTAATAACGTAGTTTCAACGTGGCTTTCAACGTCTAACATAAGACCAGAGTTTTCAGTATTCTTTTGTCAGGGTTCTTGGGAAATAATAACAAGAGGCCCGTTGTTTCAAAATATTGGCTTTTATTGTTTCAATACACTGTGCAATTAAAATGAAATTGTCACTCTATTTTTGTCAGTCACGAATTGACTTACAAGAACTTCAAAGTTAAGCACGTGTTTGGGCGTGGCTTTTCCATTGACGGTCAATAAAACCTTCGTTTCAAATGCTAGAGTTTTACCTTTTGTTGTGTTGTCACCTACAGTCAAACGTTTGGCTTCTTTTTTATTGTTTTTTTTATTGTTTCCCTTAGGCATACCAACTGACTGGTGCTTGGAGAATGTCGCTAAGCTGCTTAAACTGTGTGGAGAATCAGTTTGCTTTGAGGTGCTTGGAAATAAAGCTGTGAACGGGAGAGTTCATGAATTGTCGTATCTTGGCTATTACCTTGGACAGGTATATGGTCTTTAGTACTCATGAATCCAGTTTCTTTTGTGTTAACAATGGTTGCAGTTTTGATCAACATAGCTGGTAACTATGGTTTGACTAACCGTGTAACCAACAAACTGATCAAGTAATTGACAGATCAACTGACTGACTGACTAATCAAACTGACTGACAAAATGACTGATTGACTGACTGTATGACTGACTGACCGGCTGACCAACTGACTGACCGACCAACTGACCGACTGACAAACTTGCCTCTAAAGGTTTACATAGGTCAGATTGCTGTAAAATGGCTTTGTTTTTGTCATCTTCTCTGCTGATAAATATAGGTGTTAGGGCAAGACGATATCATGTTTGGGAGAGAGAAAGGGATGGAGAGTTTTACAAGCACCATAAAGCAAGTCCTAGCTGTCATGCCAAGCAGTAAAGATCAAACAGCATTGATATCTTCACTGTTTAATGTTTGGGAAGAGAACATACTAAGTCTTGGAGAGGGGCTACAGGAAGACTTGGGTATGAATAGCATTTCATTTCTTTGAATCAACATAAGTGATATAATGCCACATCAAAATATTAGATACCTAATTTACCTAATTAATTCATTTTTGTTCAACCATTTTTCCTCTACTTTTACAAAGCTGTAAAGGCAACATCTAAAATCTATACAACATGCTGTATTTTTGTATAGCTTTAAAAGGTCATGTAAGAAACAACCTTGAAACAGGAAAGTTTGGTAATTTGGGTAATTTTTTGAAAATTCATCGGAAAAAGGATCAAAATTCTCTCACAGCATATGATGCACACAGGACTCAGCGTAACACATGTATAGCATTCTGAACCACTGGTAATTTCTACTCTGCCTTATGTTGCAGATATTGTTACCCCAGAAGAACAAGAACAGGTTTTTGCTGCAAGTGTACACAATTTATCTAAACTGGCTGCAGTCCTCCTAAAAGAATGTACAAGAAACTAAGGGAAAAATATTATTTTTTCAAACATTACACAACTAAGAAGCAAAAATTCTAAGCTTCTTTTCGAGTGGTGAATACACTAAATAACAACCAAATTGAAAAAAAAACTCTGTAACTTTAATCCACAATAAACATTTTGAAGAATTAACTGACACAAAACCTTACAAGGGTTCACAGAGTTGTTGAGAAAGATCATAATTTTCCAAAGAATTTCTTGTTTCTCAAAAACACATTTATTGTAAATACATTATTAATATTAAATTATCTTTGATTGTTGCAAAACTCCAAAGGAGCAAATATTTAAAAATAAGAGCCCAGCAAGGCAACATTACCCTATAAGAGTACGCACTTAAAACAAATTATTAAGCTACTGAGAGCAGTTTTTTTTTCAGTGAATTATTTTAATTTCCAAAACAAATCAAGAAGAAAATTGGTGGATGTGCATGGTTGTTTTCAAATTTGGTTTTCATTATTAATATGGCTAAGCTTGCATGGCTATAAATATAAAATAAAAGAATTCCCAAATTATTGCAAAGAATACCATTTCACAAGCTATTTGTTTTGCAGTTGTACTATTTATTAACTAAAAACTACACTGTAACATAATATCTTTGCTATAAAAATTAAATTGGAGGTATGTCATGTTTTTAATTTGCTGTGGCATCATGTACACCCAAAGCAGGCAAATTGCATGTTTGTACAAACTACAACTACTTGAACTTAAATTTAACATTTATTTGAGAAGACAATGTTACAACAATAATTATTATTATGGTAAAATTGACTTCTCAAATAAGTGCTTTGTAAAAAATAATATTTTCAGTGGTTTTCCTCTATTTGTTACCTACAGCAACTATTAACACCACAGCTGCTTAGACAGTTTGACAAATTATATCAATTAAATCACCCTACAAAATGGACCTTAGGGATTCCAGCGTCATTTGTTCCAGCCAGTCAGATATTTACCAGTACTGTAAGTTTACACAATTGTTTAACCTGGTTATACATTGATGTTATAAAGATTAATTAAGCTACGATTATTCTGTTTTTCCCACAAATTGCAAAAATCCTACTTTTGGGGTCTATAAATAATTGTAATGCACCCATAAGAGTGAGAATTAGCATTTGTTGCAAAGGAGTGAATTTTAAGATGGAATCCACCAGAAGTTTGAGTAACAAGTGGACATAAACCTATTACCAAGATTATTTACATCGTATTGCAAACTTCTGTACAACTGTTTTAAATATCTTCTAAAAAAAAAACCATTTCTAACAACACCAAACGTCGAAAACAAGTGTTGATCTTCATATGGAACATTTGAAAGTACTGGTGAAATGAAACTGATGATGAAATTTTACCTGCATTTGCAAAATTTTTCTGTACAACTGTTTTAAATATCTTCTCAAAAAAAACACCATTTCTAACAACACCAAATGTCGAAAACAAGTGTTGATCTTCATATGAAACATTTGAAAGTACTGGTGAAATGAAACTGATGATGAAATTTTACCTGCGTTTGCAAAATGTTTCTGAACTTTCGCAATTTTTTTCTCTCGTTCCCATGGGAAATTCTTTTTGATGTTATTTCAGCCAACTATTTATATCTTTAGCTTGAAGAAAATGTAAAAAGGACTGTAAAATACTTAAAATTATTCTGGTACCATATTTTTGTCCACTAAAAACTGAAATTGCTCGATTTTCTATCGGATTTCATCTTAATCTATTTTTATATAGAGGATATTACACGTCCGTGAGTGGATACGAATTTTATCTTCGAGTGTTCAACTTGATATCTCACAAGTGAGCACAGTGAATAGTATCGATTTTAGCTGGTTTTGGCCATTTTGGTCATAAATAGGGTATGGTTTTCGCACTCTAGCCTTGATATGGGTATGTTTTTAAGAAAAAGCCCCTTTTCATCATTATCAAAAACAAAATCAACAAAAGCCCTTCATGAATTATGTTTGTGGCAATTTAACATTGGTCTGAACTAGGGAACTAATGCAGGTCTGAAACAGGGTTTTGATTTAAGAGTCAGGTCATAAATAGGGTTTCGAATCTTTGGTCAGGTCATAAATAGTGTAGAGAATATCGCAGATTTTGGTCATAAATTGGGTTTTGGGAAGCAGGCTGCACACCCCCACCCAATTTTTCTGGGGTACCCCCCCCCCCCCCCGATATACTTCTAGCACGCATATATGCATGCATGGTTAATTTGGCAAAAACAAGAAAAAATATTTATTGACTTATCAATTGTTGTTTATGTGCTTAACTTTCCCTTTTTGCTGTCTAATTCAAACAAATTATTTGATGTTATCCTTGCAAAACATTTCCTTAAAATTTCATCATATCCACCTGGTACTAGTTAGTCTCCGCCGCAGCCGTTACTTTTGACGTCACGCAACGCCGCTACCCACCGGTAATCTTCAACTTCGTTGTCCTGTGTGTACAAACGTCCACTCTTCTCAAACAAAATTGAAGAAAAATGCAATTTTTCCTGACGATAGGACGCGGTTGAACGCAGGCGTCAACCTCGCTAGTTGTGTGTAACTCGCCCAGTACGATAAGTTGTTCGATGGAGAATTGTTCCTTTCACCACAGGTGGGAAATGATACGTGCCTTGCTGAGAACTCTTTTTATTACCGACAGAAATGACGTTTTTACACCCAGCAGTAATTTTGACTTGCAGCCATATAGCAAAGCTTGTGAGAATACCTACAATCTGTTTGTGGTGCTTTCAATGTCCGACGTCATTTACAGCTGTGCAATACGATCAGAATCAAATTACCAAGGTATCGCGTCTCACACGGATAGGATTACATGAGTATCTCAAAACAGGTCGCTGACTCACCGAATAGAAGCATATTGCAGGCCATAACACGCTGATTCGTTACGAAAATTCGCCAGTTCGTGACGATAAACCTTTGCCAACCACCGATTGCAGGGATTGCTGAAACAGGTATGCAGTTTTAAACTGTTTACAGTGACGTCACTGCGTCAATCCCTGAGGCCTTCGGAAAGTCAATAAACTCTATTGCAGCACACGCCATCGATACGCCGTGTTCGATTTTCATCCAAGCGTGTTGAGTATCATGGGAGGCAAGCCAGGTAAAGAAAAAAAAGGCAAAATAATCGAAGATGACTTCGTGGAAATCGACAAGTTTTCTGGTGGTACCGACGAATTCGGCGAGAGAAAAGGTGAAGGAATGTATTGCTATCAAAATGGCGATATTTATGACGGAGATTGGAAGAAAGGAAGGAAGCACGGCTACGGAATATATACATATGCAAATGGAAAAAGGTAATTCCTTGTGTATAGGAGGAAAAAGCACAAACAAAGTTTTTGAATTCGAGTTTTGAGCAACTACTTCCGGTTAGTATTTCGCACGATCGATTTGATATGCACTTAGGCTTACAAGCACAACAATGTGTCACTCTTTCGAAGACCTGTTCTTTTTTCACGTAATTTGATATTTGTTATTACTCTGATTCGAAAAGTCTTAAACAGGGAACGTTGGAATTTTTATACATATGTCTCAGCTTCATTTGGCTTTCTGTTTTTTTTTGCTCGACCTCAATAATAATCGCGCTCGCATGCGTGATGTATATCAAGGAACAAAGCTAGCCGGAAGCTTGTAAATAAGTGACGTAAAATCATCCCATCTTGACGATATAAAGCCCACACGCTTCAATGAATTTTACTACCTATAAAAACTGCTGGAGTTTTAGCGGGTTTCTAGTTAAAATGGTCTTTATAGGGTAAGTATCGCCTGAAAAATTCACGAACTGTTGTCTATTACGGGAGTAGCCTGTGACTGATCACAATTGACATCTTAATCATGGCAGTCAGTTGTAATAATATATTCCCTAAAGAGTAAATGTGGAAGTTATAAATAATAGAACGCTAGCAGTTATACATGTTTTTTCAAACGAAGGCAAATTCATTCCATTAAACTCTTGTGCAAATAACTTTGGTTTCCTGGTGGTAAACAGGTACAGATGTTAAGGAAAAATTATTAAAGGACTGCTGGAGGCTTTCATAATTAAAAAAAAAATAATTTTTAGTAGAATTTACCTTAATTGACAAGAAATTTTTATTAGTTCTCGTAATCTATTGGACGCTAAAGTCGAAGCACTTGTTCTTACCGCGCAATCTTGTCACGTAATCTTTCTTGGAGGTAAGAGGAAAGATTGCGTGACGAAGACAGAGTTTGTTGCGCGCGTTTCGCGTTTGCGACCTCCGCCGCCGGAAAAAAAAAAAACCCGACGGCAAAAACCTACCAGGTACGCAGGCTATTGTGTGTGCGATTTCATGGTTGTTTGCTTTTCTTAGCATCAGAGGATGGTTTTACAAGGATCGCTTTATAGGATCAGAACCAAACGAAAAGTTAAAGAAAAAGCTAAAAAAGAAACCAAAAGTAATACAAGAAGATGCTCCTCCTTTGCCACCTCCAGCAAGTCTTCTATTGTAAGTTGTTTGCAATATTTTTTGCTGTTTGATTGTCTTAACAACTTTAATTCTGCAAAATGGGAAATGGATGTTCTCTATTCTCGGTGGGTTTTGCAGTTTGAGGTTCTCAGATTGGGTACCCAATGAAACAGAAAATTATCTGCTCAAGAATAAAACGCGCTTGTCTGGCACAGGGCTGGAGATACCGAGTCACTGTAAAACCCCGGAGTAAAACATCCTGACCAACTTCGTTCCCAGGTCTCTTCCCAATCTCTAAATGAAAAGCCCTGAGAACGAGGTTGGTTCCTGACATTGGCTTTCTTTCCAGGCCTTTTTCCCCGTTTAAACACAATGATTGAGAGCCTTGCAGGAAAACAAGTTATTTCCAATTAGGTCAGCATCCCGCCCCCCAACCCCTTTCCCAACTTTTTTGGTGCGTCTATTCCGTTTCCCATATCCAACAAGAGCCCTTGTCCACAGTAAGCCCCTTTCTTTGAAGCCACCAAAATGTACGCACAAGTTTTGAAAACAATAAAACAATCGTCGATTTTCACAGTTCATGTGCTATTTATGATAGACTGATCTTTTAAAAAGTTCTACAGCAGCTAACCTATGATGTCTCTTATTAGTTCCCCTCCTGAAAGAAACAAATCAAAGCCCTTGAATACAACTCGCCTCTCTACAAGTCAAGAAGATGTTTCTAAAGACGACCGGCTTGAACCCGATAATTTTCGTCGAGCGAAGAGCGAACGTCGACCAAAGAACTTTTTTCGAAGAAATTACCAATTACCCAGCAAAGACGAGGAGAAGATGGAAAGACAAAGAAGTGTAAGATTGAGGCAGTCAATTCGCGCTAAATACGGTTTACCAGAACCTTCAAGAAAGAATCCCTTACTAAGTAATTCCGAATAGTGAAATTATTGGTGTGATATATCCCTTAAGAAATTATAGAGCCGAGATTCGATGACCAATCAACCGCTCTCCCAGAAATTAAACGCAGCCGTATAACAGAAATTTGCTATTTTGCCTTCTTCTTTTTGTTTTTACGCTATTTTGAAAGGGTACAAACAGGTTGATTTTTGTACCTTTGTCAAAATAGCGAAAAGTGCGAACTAATTTACAAAGCGGATATAACAGACCAATCACAACTGGTGGTTGATTCACGTGATCGTGCAGTCTCTAAGCTGTAAGCCCGACACAAACTGCCAATGATTTTGTGGATGTTATTGCTTCTGTTCACATCTCAGCCTTGATAACAAGCTGATTTGGGCCAATCGTAGAGCGTAGCAAGTGCTAATAACAAAGCAATATACGCATGCAATTTATTTTCGGTAAACCCTTTTAAAACTAAGCAAGATAACTAGTAGTAATCGTAGATTAAAGAGTGCGTTCGAGCACTGGTAGGTAAAGAAAAAATTCTCGGAACAACATTTTGTACATGAGCTGTTAGGTAGGCGTGAAATTGGCCTTCCCCCAGTAGGGAAAACAAATGAATTGATCGCAAAGCACGTACATACGAGAGGATTTGTTCTCATTTGTGTATAATAATGAAGCCCAAATCTAAAGCTTTGCTAATTTTTGCTAAAGGGCTCGTTGTCTTTTGTTATCAGATCAAGCAATACAGTTTTGCTGGTGTTAAACTAGGTCAGCTTAACCTTACGTATATTATGTAATTTATAGCTTTTTGTAAATAAAAAATGATGTATTTAATTTTAGACAACCCCAAGATATTGTGAAATTGTTGCAAAAGAATGACTGCATGCCTCTTTTCGGCTCAAACTTTATCTATGGTTGAGAACTGCGCTCGTGACAAAAAGGACCCCCCACTTCAGGCCTTTGAACGAGGACTTGCCAAAAAAGGCTGTTATATTTCCCGAGACCGAAGGCCTCGAAAACAAGTAATCCAGGCCAGATGGCGTATACCTGTCGATTCATATGTAGCATAAACAATTTTGGAACGGATGAGTAACATTGGTAATTTATTGGAAATTGGTAGGCGAGTCGTTTCTTGCACTTAATTACAGTGTGCTTCAGGATTATTTCAAGTTGTTGAAGTCGACGGACGAAGGTCAATTTAGTTAATATCAATGTGTTGCACAGTTTTCAGTCGACCATAAGCGGAATACTGCGTGTCAGGAAAGTGGGACGAGAGGAGTATGGGGCCCAACTCCCAAACTCTACACCCAAACCAAGAGATATGATCCTGATCAAATTCTTATGTCCAAAACTATCAGCGCCGCTGCATTTTTGCCTTCCCCACTTGATCGTCTTTCTTCGCCCAAAAAACAACTCATAAGAGTGCATTTAGACATCTAAGTTTTAATACAGTTTCGGCCTAAAGAATTGAAAGTGATAGTTTTCTCTGATCGGACAGTCGAATATTGTTTTGCATTTCATTTTCCAGTGTGTTTCGGTATTTTGATTTATTAGTTTATCTTATAACTATAGAACTTGTCTTTTGCTTCCTATGCATTTTCAGAGACGTCTTTTCACAAATTACTAGCGCGGCGTGCAGCACTTGAGATGCTTTTTGACAATTCCTTAGCCTACTATCAGGCGCCTATCGTAGAGTATTAAAGAAAGGGAAAAAATCAAAACTTCATTTATTAAATATGATCATGTTTTCAGGTGGTAGATATTCAAGTGCCACATTAAAAACATTAGCTGGTTCTTAACCAAACGTTTAATTATTTTGCTGGTACAAAGATAGCAAAGATGATATTTTTTGCCACAATTCAATATAGAGGACGTCTAATAATTCTCACACCGGTTTAAAAAGTGCAGGTGGAGGTTGTTTAAATGTTCTGGAAAGGTTTTTCGTTCTTCTTCCCGAAGAACTCGTAAAATATCTGAACAGCGCTACAAGCCTTTGAGTCCTCTGATTTCAATGCAAGACTACATGGAGTAGATCGACGAGCAGGGTCATGAGCCGAGGAAAGCTATACAACGTTTTCCAGGATCGCTCAACTTTTAAAAACGCTGTCTTCGTGTTTGTGATTGTTTCACTTGAGCAGGTAGTAAGTCGTTTGGGAATCACTTGTGAAAACGCAACGTTGTGGCTGATTGTTCCACCGTGCGTTATATTTGTCGTGAGCTGCTAGAAATCTAAAAACGTCACACTACTTTTGAACTGCAACACTTCAAAGAACTGCTCTTTAGGACTGGAATTTGCGGCGCAGAGTTATGTCGCCTTGATGTATATGACTTTACCCGCTCTCACCTGGATTGTAACCGCGTTCCTTGACACTAAAATCTGGGTTTGTCACCGAATGGGACCTGAGGACTGTGGAGTTTTCTTGAATTGCACCCTTGACGAAAAGCACCGAAGGGATGAAGAGAAAAGAACTTTAAAAGCAGAATCTCAGAACATTGCGCTTCTAATTCTCACAGGTATATTGACTTTTATATAATAATTAAATGAATGCGCGCGCTCTGATTGGTCGATCAGCTATGGTTTATTGTGCCAGTAAACTCATGGAAATTTCGCGTGTCTTCTGAATTATTATACAAAAGCAATAGACCACAAGTTTCTATGGTTTAGAGGCATGATAAACCACTTGGGATGTTGGAAGAACAGGAGAAGAATTCGTAAATCACGAGCCTGCGGCTCGTGATTTACGAATTCTTCTCCTGTTCTTCCAACATCCCAAGTGGTTTATCAGCCTATAAACCATAAAAACTTGTAGTCTATTGCTTAAGAATTTTTTTCTCATGCTAAAAAGACGTTGTCATCAGGTACTTCCTCACCCATGGTCATTATACCAACTTTGACTCGGATCTTCAATCGGCAAGCGATCGACTGTAAGACGAAACTTTCCGATTATGTGCAGTCGGCAAATCTTCGTAGAGACGAACGAACACTCCCGAGTACAGGGCGATCCTTTCTGAGTCAGGAAGGTTACTAAGCAACTTGAGGATCACGATAACGACTGCTAACCGCGGGAAACTATCGTTTGTGTTTTATTTTAGGTTCAGTGATGTGCACAGCCCTCTTAAGCTGGGGCTATCATCTCCTGTTTGCTAGACCAGAGAAGGAGCATGAGCTGGAAGATCTCGCGCGAGATGCTGCCAGGACAGTGCTGGAAAATTACGCAACCGAACGCGCTAGTCTAAAACTGCAAGAAATAAGAGCTATGGTAAGTCTGTCATAAACAGGAATGGTTATTTGCGCGCTCAATTCCTCCCTGGCGGGTGGAGCAGAACTTTTGAGTCAACAGTTAGTGGATGAAAAATAAGTCTGTGGTCTAGTTGAACCACAAATTTCCATCTGAGAGGAAGAGAAAAAAAGGCGTCAGATTTACACAGCCATCAAGAACGGCGGGCAGGGCGTAACCTCGTCCCCAGGGCGTTCTCGTCGAAGATTCTTGTGACGAGGTTTGGCAGGGCGGGACTGTAATGTTGTCACGAATACGCACGAACTCTTCCTAACAGCTTTCAGTGACCCTTTCAGTTGTTGCAACTCTTAAAAAATTGCATCGATCGATAACATGATGTTTTATTCTGCAGGTTATGGCTGAGACAAAAGACAAAGTGGTCGAGGCTGAACTTACTGAAACCAGAGTGCAGAAAGCTGAAGAGGAAAGTGTTTCGTGTCCAGGAAGAGAAAACTCTCTTAGTTACCAGCTGGAATCTAAGTGGTTTGAGCAATTAGACAGGAATATTGTGATTCATCTTGAAGATCACCTTATAACTGACAATGTTAAACTTATTTATCCGGAACTGTAATACCATGCAATGCTTGAAACAGCCAGTTACAATGCGTATCACAAGATATTCGCACATTGTCAAAAAAATAAATAAATAAATCCAAATTAAAGGTTCTTATTATTTATTCAATTCTCAGAATATATTCTACATTCACCTCGGAGTCCTATCCTATCCCATCCCATCCCATTTTCATTAATAAAACTTAATTTTTCTATTAAGAGCGGTTTTCAGGTACAGCTGCTACTCTGTAACAGTACAACAAAAAGTAATTGAAACAAACGCAAATGACAGAGTGACCAATTACAATTCGCAGCACCAAACAATGGAAAAAAGGTAGCCGCGTGTCAAGGCCTAATAAAACAAAGAACCGCCCAAAAAGGGCGGGAAAAACTCGCATAAGCCAGTAACAGAGTCAGAACTTGAAACATAAGCGAACACATAATTTTAAATCCTCATTCGGTTAGCCTGTGTGACGGCCACCCTACTATACCCGAAAGAAAAAATAGGCTACAGTCGGGAAACAAATGCCATTTTCGAGTACGTCTTCTTGGAGATTAATAGAAGCACCCCCCGATAGGAAAAGGCTATGTACTTTGCCAAACAAAAGATTGTTCAAATAATTGAATATTTCCTTTCACACCACTTTTGATACAAATCTAATGCAAAAATGTGAGTAAAATATTTAGATGAATTTTTTCTCTCCTTCTCACATTGAGAACCTGCTTCTAATAAATACTTTCAAACTGGATTCCTAAAACGGGCCGAATACTCCAAGACTACCAAAACGAAATCTGTATAAAGACGAATAATGCTTCGATATCTGACGAATATAAACGTTTCAGATTAACTTTAGTGATTATGTAGGGTTATGAAAAGTGTGTCATCAGATACCCAGGAATTTTCTGATGCACTGATGATTTTTTAAGTGACACGATTCACGTTACTGTCGAATTAATCCGACCATCCATCTGTATTAATGGCAGGCTCGTTCTAAAGTTAAATAGTAATATTACTGACTGATGAGTTGTTTGTCAGTCAAATGATGCTAAATAGGCTAACACTGAACTTGAAGCTAAGCTCGATTCCCGAGAGAGCGGCAGAGATAGATCCTAACTTGAAACACATATATTACTTATAAAAACTTCGTCTACAAAAAATATTGTCCCTCACTTTGTAAAATATCTATTTAAAATGAGTATTTGACTCAAATTATCATATTCGTTCATCTAACAAGTCGCTAATGAAATCCACCGCCTTAGGTTCCCCACCACGTAGCTGACTGGACTTTTCTCACTTGGCTCAGCTATCAGAGAAAGAAAAAATAACTTGCATTACATGGATTAGAACCAAAAGACCCTTATTTATAGAAGAAGTCTAACTTAAACCCCTCTGTAAGCAGAACTAGGCGGTGGCTGAATTGTGATCGTAACATGCGCCATAGCACAGTTAGACTGTTCAGACGAAAAGTGTGTTTACTGGTGTGAACACGGTTTAGACCAAGCATTTCTTAAACGCTGTCTAACCCTTTTCAAAGAAGAAAGAGTAGACGGTGTTTGTCTTTAGAGGAGATCAAAAGGGAACCTCACAATACGTCAGTGACATTTCTAACACGAGAATTAAACGGAGAAAGACTTCGGCGTGCTTCGTAAATTCGTCGATCTCTCGATAGCGTGCATGGTGTACAAAGGAACTTACCTCTTTAGGACTAAACTCCAAAATAGTTGCAATAGCTGTAATCATTTGTTGTTTGACTGAATAACTCGTGCTCATCATAAACCTTAGCACAATGTTCTTTAGATATTCTAAGTTGGCACTCTCACGAGACCTGCATGATAAGTAGGAAATAAAATGACGAGCAGTTATTCAACCTTGTTCGCAGTCCATCTCAATCTTCCAAATCTTGGCCATCTGGTGTCTTTTTCCATTATTATTACCTAGTTTGCGTTTTTCTATCTTCACAAATTAAGTTTTTCCGTCAATTTCAAGGTAATTTCGTAGCATAGTACACTATATGGCGACATAAGCGACAAACATTTCATGTCCAGCAGAGGACTCCACAGTCATTTTCAGACTTACACTGAACAACCACCCAAGATAAAACAATTTCAAGTTACCTATTTCTTTCAAGTTTCCTGATTTCTTCTTTGAGGAGATTGGCCTGATCCATGAGTTTGTCACCTCTAGCAAACGAAAAAAAAAACAATCAGGGAATAACTGTATACATTTAGGCCAAGTGCAGGGAGGTTTGTGCAGTGCGGACGTGTACGCAGCTATAACAGGTTGTGTGGTAAATCATAAATTGAAGAAACTAATTTGCTCAAGAAAATCATTTTTTTCAACATTACCTAATTTCTGCATCTCTCAAGGCCACTTCAAGTTCATTCCTCTGTCGCCGTATTGCTGTGCTTTCTGCTTCTCTTCTGGCTTGCTGTTGAGCATAGTGTACCAGTGTACTCTCACTACTGCTAGCCTGGAAGTAGTAAAGGAGGCATTGTGGCATAAATAAACAATAACCTCTATTTGGGGTGGACATAATCTGTTCCGAGATGAGAACACTTTTTCAAGAGCGTAGCTCGGGGAAAACTGCGAGCTTCGAGGAACAGATAATGTCCAAGGACAAATACTTCAGCATATTTTCCACCAAGTGGAGGCTATTGTGTTTATTATCCGTCAATTTTTTTTCCTAAAACGTACAGTTTTGAGCATCTATCCGGCGTATCTTGGACAGGGCAAAATGAATCAAATCCTGCGCTGTGATTGGCCACCCGATTGGACAAGATGGAGCTATCTTGCCCACTCGGGACTACCCGCCGTGTCCCACAAGAAAAATTTCCCCGAAAGCCATATACTGAATAAATCCTTTATTGACCACGCTTGTTTGGTCAAGATGGCTTGAAATTGGCCTCGCTCTTTTTTTGCGAGTTTATGGACCTCGACTCCGTCTCGGTCCATAAACATGCAAAAAGGGAACTTGGCCAATATCCAGCCATCTTGACCTCACACTTGGTCAATAACCCATACATACTAACCCCAGAAGGTTTGGTCAAGAGCTGATGAACTGCAACATCGGCTTCAGATGACTGAGGAGAGTCCAAAGTGGCCTGGGAACCACCAGTTATCTCCACAAACTTTCTCTGATAAGAAAAGGCTGATCTTGCAGTGCTGCTCTCAGCTGAAGGACTGTTTGAAGGGATACGATTTCTCAGCGTTTCAATCTCTGAATCTTTCTCTGCCACTAGGGCGAGAGTTCGTTCCCTTTGATTTAGCACCTGCCTTTCAAGTTCCTCAAGTTTTTGTTTGTAAATAGTGTTTGATTCCTCGTTTTCATGTTTGTGTTTCTCCTCCATCAACTTGAGCGAATCCCGCAAGTTTGTGATCACCTTTCTTTGATCTTGTTCTTTTTCATTGCTAGAGTGTTTTAAGTCTTCAATTTGCTTTTCTAATTCAGCATTGTCTTTTTTTAGTTTCTCCAAGTTCTCCAACTGTTCACTAAGCTCTTTGAAGGATTTGTTCTTGTGAAGCGCCTGTGTCTTGACTTTGTATCTTTCAAATTCTTCCTTTAGCTGCCGCAGTTCTTGTTGACAAACTTTATGTGAAGGGTCGTTCACAAAAAGAGACTCCAACTCCGACTTGCTCAGCTCTTCTAAATGTTTTGTCAAGAGAAAGAGAAACACAGGTCAGAATTTCAGTTATTGATCGCTGTTTCCTTAGAAACCACTTGCTCTCTTGCTATGTTTTTGTTCACTTGCATAATTTTTGCCATATTATGGAACACATAACTGTACAATAGAGTATGTAGGGGAAAATTCTACTGTAAACATAAATAACTCGTCTTAAAGTTTTTAACACTATAACAGCAACATTAAGGTCTTTGAAACTGAACAATGTTTCATTGTTTGTGTCACAACATTGACATCAAAAGTTAATTTTTCAATTATCTCTACGACAATCTATGATGTGAGTTTACCACAATCTATGATGTGAGTTTATTATTTTCTCTCCCAAACTGGTAAATTGGTGTCTAACTGTAAACATAACGTTTGTAAAAGTACATTCTTGTGCATACATGAAGTGTATGGTCCAAACAACCTCATTCCCATGGTCTCTCATCTTACTGCCCCCTGGAGCGAGCGAAGAGAGAGGGTCTCTCTTCGCTTGCTCCAGGGGGCAGTAAGATGAGAGACCCTGGGAACGAGGTTGTGGTCCAAAATAATAACTGTTCTTACCCAGATCCAGTGGCTTGTCAGAAGAATCCATAGCGATCTTAAGCAATCCTTTTAACTTAAAAACTTGCTTTTTCAATTCCTCTGGTGTTTCATCTTCTAAAAGGTCTCTTTCATTGTCTGGTGTTCTGTTTTCCTCTGTACTGATCTGTCGAGTTAATGTAGCATTCTCCACATCCAGCTTCTGCAAACGTTCCTTCAGCTTCTGAATAGCTTGCTGATCTTGTAGTCTGAGCTTTTCGTAATTTCCAACAACTTCTGACAACTCAGAGAGTTTCACCTCTGATTTGATGACAAAACAAATATAACTCAATTTGTTTTCTAAAACACATCCCCGACTTACTCAATGGCATTGTTAAATGCTGCTACATGATGCCTTTGTAATGCCTGGGAGATTTTCTAATGATTCAATGCACACAACCATGGAATCTATTGATACTATTCAATGCACACAACCATGGAATCTATTGATACCAACTGTACAAAACCTTGTTAAAAAAAACTGATGTTACCATGACACATCACTTATCTTAATCACAAAAAAGAAAATGGCCCTTTTTTTTTGCTAACCTAACTATATTCAAATATTCAAATGATTTTGTGAGAATCAAAACTGTAAAGTTTTCTTAGTAAACTTTTGTGAGTTTTTCTCAAACTCCAATCAATTTTCTTGTGTGTGCATTAGGCTGCGTAAACACAGTCACATACTAGGTATTTCATATTGTGTATCATTTGATTTTCCATTTCTTTTTCTTTCCCTCAGTCACTACTGTACCGTGGGAGGTTCCAAATGAGCACTTTTTAAAGGAGTAGCTGGGCTATGTGAGAGCAGAGCTATGTAGAATGTCTGTAACAGCAACAAAACGCTTGATCAATTCATACCCAAATCTGCCACTCTGCACTCTTCCAAACTGGTAATAATCCTCAGTCGTTCTTCAGCATCATTAGCCCTCTTCTGTTCCCTTATAACAGCCTCAGCGTGCTCCTTCTTCATCTTGGACATCTCAGCCTGTAACTGAACCAGTAACGGTGAAGGTTGCGAGGAAGCTTTCTCAGCCTCCTTCAACCTTTTTTGAACTCCTTGCAACTCAATTTGCAGCTGTGCAATTTGTCGTTCATACTCCTCTGTTTTGTTGCCTGGTGATTTTTTCATCAGCAGGATTTGTTCTTTGGCATCATCTAGTTGCTGTTCAAGGTCTTCCTTTGTAGAACGTTCAGTTGACACAAGCATTTGCAGTTCACGCAGCATGAGAACGTGGTTGTTTTGTTCTTCCTCACGCGCTTGCTGCTCATGTCTCATGCGCAGCTTGAGCTGTCAATAATCAAATAAAATTGATTACCATAGATTCCTTGAATAACTACTAATTGTACAAATGCAACATCTTTGAAGGAAATTAGCAGACATTATTAGCCCTCTCCAGTAATCACCCCACTGTCAAATTACACTCTTTGGCTGAAATAAATTGCAAACATAGAGCTCTTTTGTTGATCTAGCTCAGCCCTGACAAAGACACAACAAAAGTCTGTGCAGGAGCATAGCCAGGATTTTTCAAAGTGGGGGTGGGGGAGGGGGGGGCAGGGAGGGGGAGGGAGAGTCACACTGACTCAAAGTGAGGGTACTCATCAGATTGTCATGTCATTTTGCCACCTGTTGTAGGCTGTTTGCTTAAAAAAGGCTAACAAATGGGGGATTACAGTCACCCCAGGACCCCCCCTAGCTATGCCCCTGCTGTGGATGAGGACTCATTATTGAAAATATACATAAAAGAAAATTTAACAATGGGCAGCTTCCTTATCAAGACCTCCAGGTTCAGTCATGTGTTAGGACGGATTTTGAAATGGCACTTTCCCTTTGACTTTGTGAAAAAGGCTTGGTACTTTTGTTAATAATTTATTTACAACAAACCTCTTGAAGCTGTTCCTCAAGTGTTTCTACAGTCTTGTTCAGTTTCTCTGCTTCTTCTTCATACTCCTTGACTTTAGCTTCATGATCTTGCTAATGGGTTGCATGATGTTTAAATAAAAAATCAAACATAGAATAAGTCAGTTGATAGGAAGATTGTACGTTAAAATTGTTATTATTCATTTTATTGTAATTCTTAGGAAATATTTATACCATCATTTTCTTTTTGTCAGCCTGATAGCTGGCTTCCATCTTTGATTTTTGCTGCATTACAGTAGCAAGTGATGCACTGAGAGTGGCAATTTTCTCTTGCTGCGCTTCCAACTCTGATTGCTCGGGTGAACTGCTTTCCTAAATTGAGCAAATAAGATATTAATAGTAAAAATTATATGCATCCATCCTTAATATTGCCTGATGGAAATTAATAATCGCTGTTTACTTAACACTCTGTTGCACCCATGACTTGAAATAACATTCACAAAAATACCTGTTCAGTACCGGAATAAATTAAAATACAATTCCAATAGTTTGACTGTGGTAATTTGAGTTTTCGGATACCTGAGTCTGTTTATAAAAATCGTGTATCACATACATGTACCAAAAAAAGAGCAAATTACGTTGGCTTATACTACAGAACTTTTCATCAAATCTCATTAGGTTCAGTAAAGCTGGGTTGTCATTAAGACATAAAACCAAACCTCATCTTGATGCAACTGTTTTCCATGTTCCATGTCATCTTCTTTTACTGCTAGAGGATGATCCAACACTCCCTCCATATGTACAGCCTCTTCTTGTAAGGAACTTGAGGAATCTTCACTTTTGCCTGCACTGTCACTGATCTTCTCATCCTCCACACTTTCATTCTGATCTTTGCCATCAGCTGCTTCTTTTTTGTGACTGCTCTTTGTTGTTTGGTTATTGCTGGTTGTCAAGACATTGATACTCGCTTCTAAAGCCTCTTTTTCTTGTAATAGATTTTTATAGGCACGCACAACATCTAAAGAGTAAAAATTGAAAGTCACATAATTGTAAATATATTGTACATATGATGTATAACATTTAATTTATATGGGGGTTTCCCTAGTATGGTGCTGTGGTGCTTTTGGTCACCTCCATCTCCTGTTTTGTAATTTTTAATTGCAATTTTTGTAAGTAACATGAAGTAAATGTAATAAATCTAAATATTTGTCAAATCTCTGTAGCAAGAAAAAACGAGACTATTTGGGACCACATCACATTGACTGACCTGGCAATGTACATCAAGGCATTCAAGAATATTACAAGAATTAGCAGCTAATGATATATACAGTATATGATCGGTAGCTGCCGGTTTCGCCCCATGGCGAGTTCGCCCCCACCGAGTTCGCCCACACATAGACTCAACTTGATTGAGTTTGCCCCCAACCAGACCGAGTTCGCCCCCAATCAGATCGTGTTTGCCCCCAACCAGATCATGTTCACTCCCACGTCAGTATTCAACTGTTCAATCTTGAATCTTGAATTCTTTTCAATCTTGAATTCTTGAAAAGCTGAAAAGGAAAGCAGCTACTAGACCCCTACAGGAGTTGGCCGAGTACATTGAAAGGACCTGGATTACAAGTACCACCTGGGCCCCCGCATCCTGGTGCATTTATCTCCAAGCCATCTGAACCAACAACAACGACAACTCCTTTAGGAGCCACAAATCTACAAAAGTCATGATCAACAGTGCATCAGTCTGTGTTTTGTAGTTTATCTAGTTAAACACGAGGGGAATATGGGCTAGGTTTCTATTCTACTCGCACAAGATCTCTTGCGCTTTTGCGTGACTTCGCGTTATGGTTTCCGGTCGCCCCAGATTTTGCTCGTGCAACGCATATTAAATTTAAAATGGTCACCATTCATAAGTTAAGTAAACTAGTACTTAGTAAAGACTATAGAGAGTGTTTTTGGTCCAACACAAAATTTTGGGGTGAACTCGAAAAGTTGGAGGCGAACTCGACAAAGGTGGGGGCGAACTTGAAATAGAAGTTTTATAGAGGGGGCGAACTCGGTGGGGGCGAACTCGCCATGGGGCAAAACCGGCATCAACCACATGATCATACATAGTACATGACCAAGGTGAAGGATCTGATTGGAAACAAAATCAGGATACTAAACTTATCCCCAAAATAACCTTAATTGTACAATTTCTGCTCACCAGAAATAATCAAACGTCCATGTATAAAACTGTATTAAAATAAGACATTTTAAAGCTTATCCTTCCAAATTCCATCCCTCCATCATTTCGAATGCAATTTCTCAGATTTGAATTTATTTGGGTTGGAATCAATTACCTCGTGTTTAAAACGCAATTTTGACTGTATTACTAGCAGGAGAAACATATATCCTTTTACTAAGTCAGGATTTCAATCTCGTTCCTGCCACGTCCGATTAAATTGAAATCGTTACTGACAAAACAAGTAACATACATACATGTACACGTACAGGGCGGGCGCCAGCTGCTGTTATGTAGAGTCGTATCGTGTAACATTTCCTTACCTCTAAGTCTTGTTTCGTAGCGTACCAGCTGCTCTTTCTGTGCCTCTACAATTTTAATAAGTTCAAACCTTGATTTCTTCTCCATAACGGCGTCCAAACGGTTGTGTCATTGGAATACATATGGCATCATCACTAATCCGTCAGACAAAACCAGCGGCAAAATAAGTCATTTGGTGACCCTAAAACCATCAGAAGACAATCTTAAGTCTTCATATATCCTCCTTTCGGATTTTCAGTCAAGAAGAGTGGCCTTTAAAGTGTTATTTTTTGCCAGGAAGTACGAAAATTCTTGTGCGTTCTAGAAATTGACCAGGCCTTCTCGACACGTATGTTTACAACAAAAACCGCGGAAAGACTGGGTCATCCCTTCATATAGCGATGCACGAGAGGTTCACATGGTCCTTCTTCTCCTCACGTGACGAGAAAGTAATATGGCGGCCGCCCAAAATGCAGGGACCAACAGCATAACGAAAGTTTTGGAGAGTATATGCCGGGAACGGAGGAGAGAGCATCTCGATAAAGAAAGTGAAGGTACGTTTAATGCATGCAGAATGAAGTGGAGCAGTTTTCCGGAGGAAAAACAGTTAATTTACGTTGATTTGGCATGTCAAACTGTCTCAATATGCGGCCTGATCGGCACGATGAAATCGAGAAAGTCTCGGTTAAAAAAGAAATCGTCAATTATCCGACTGTCTTTCTCATCCTGCAACTGTTCTTGGGTGCAGAGTAGCTAAAGCCAAAGAAAAATGGTAAATATTTGTGGTATATTGTAATCCAGCCAAACAAGGGCCTCACTAAGTTGCCATTATATGCAAGTTTAATATTAGTTTATTTATACATTGTATAATCATAATAATTATCAAAAGCCTTCAGCTAATACCCGTAAGCTATATTAAGCTCACGTGATTGTTGACTGATGATTCATGTGCATTGCTAATTAGAGGATGGAAAACTGAATTGACCTGTTGCGTAAATCTGGGAGATGGTAAAATTATTTTTCATTAGTGAACCTCGTGTTCACCCCCCAAAAACAAGATTAGAAATAAATCGTCAGCAGTTTGACCACAAGCAGCCATCAAGTATCCAAACATCTTCCTTAGAGTAGGTGAAAATAAGTTTTGCAAGTACATACAGTATATACATAAAGCACTCTTCCCTTCATATCTGGGAGATTTGGTGACTCAGAGGACACAAAGGACATGTTGTACAGCTGTACGTGTACATATGTAAAATGAAGGCATCTTAATAGAAATTTGGGCTACATTTTACTTTATGGCACCAAATGACATATTGTGTTCTATGTATGAGTGTGTATTGTTCCTTTTGAGAATTTTATAGAGTTTGTACAGCAATATTTATAATTGCATTTTGTACTCTGTCTTGATCTTAGGAGGCAGGACAGGTGGCAGCATGGCTGAGTGGTTACGACCCAAGACTGGAGGTTGTGGGTTCAAGTCCCACTCTGACCACTAAGCTGGAGTTGTTTCTCAGTAGACCAACTCCTCGGCCACACTTGTAAATAGCCAACTGCCCTGTCTCCAGCCAGTTGGGATTTTTAACCATGTTATGTTCATTTACATTATTTGTTTCATCATTTGGTTTCATCGGCCCTGAGAAGCCCTATTAGGGGAGTGGTCAATTAAGATATACTGGTATATATTTTTTTAATCTTATAGACAATTCTGCATAGTAATTTATGATAAATTATAGTTTATGTTTCTCTTCTTTTTAATCACATAGAGGGCTTTATTGTCCTGGCTATTGAGTCTTTCTGGACAAGACTTTTCTCACAGTACTTTGTTTGTAATGACGACGAAACAAGGGATGACCTTCTTTTCTATGTAAAAGGAAAGAATACCAATAAAGATGGCAAAGTTGAGAAAGAACAAGCAGAGGTAACTGCCTCCAGTTGTTATAAGATAAATTTTGTTACTTGGAGGAAAATGTATACTGTAGTTGTTTTGTTCAGTCAATCAATTAATCGATCAATCAATCAATCAAAAAGTATATTTATGTGTCAAAGTTAAACTAGGCAAGGGGAAACACCGCTCTACTAATTAGGGATTAATGATATAATTAGAAGCATGCTAACTAATAACTAATAAAAGATTAAAAGCCTACTGACTATTATCTTATGGGAGTGAAGTTACAAACCTAAAATCTTCAACTGAGAAATGCATGTCTTGTTTTTGGAGATGAGTATTTCATTTCCTGAGATAAAATTTGTATCTTACAACACAGTTGGAAAGTAACTTATTCTTGTTTCTTGTGGAAAAAGTCTTGTTTCTCTCAAATTAAGTCTCATTTCTCTTGATATGTCTTGTTTCTTGTAAGAGGTCCTCAAAAAGAGTTTAATAGAAATGTGCTTTTAAAACTCTTTTGATGCCTGTGCCATGTTACCTTGAATGAATCAACTTATTGCTAACTTTTTTATCTTTGGAATCCTAAGTAAATAAAATATCACCATCTGTTTCTCATTTTTTTTTCCCTGCATGAACTTGTGTAGTCTAAAATTGCAGTGTTCAGAAAAGACTCCAAAGTTCTTCCAAGGTTAGTGTAATTTTTTTCTTATCACTATGTTTTATTGCACATGTATATGCTATGGTATAAGATGACCAGTAGTTAGAGTTTACATCAGACTGATTTTTTTACGTTTTATGATTTCGCTTGTAATAAAAGTTAATTTAGTTAACTATATTTTGCTTTGACTAATTTGTATTTGATTTCCTTTATATAGCTTGGGTGATCCAAGTATTGACTGGGAAGAGTCTGTGTATCTGAATCTCATTTTACATCAAGTGAGTAATGTGACTGTGTAATTCTATCAACTGTACAGTATATGTACATGAATTTAATTGGATCTCACTCCAAGTGACACTTGATACATTTGCCTACATTGTTTGTACCTCATGTTAATATTACTCGCTGATTCAGTGACTGACATATTACATAATTATATCTATCAACATAACAGTGTCTAACCATTCTAGAATCTGTAGTCATGGAAACAGGACCTTTGGGAATGTTGTAGATAAGAAGCTGGCATCAATGAGCTTCTCAACCCATTGTTTTGCATCAGTGACCAACAACATAATTAATTAAATTTAATTAACTAGTTAACAGTTATGCTATGATATTATGACTGAAAAGTCAGTGAAGCATTACAATGTTTTGGCTATCCTTTAAATTTACATGTACAGGAAGCAGTCCTATTATTAATAATGTTTGGTACTCATAGTGAAAATTTCCTTGTTCTATCACACAAAGATTAAATCTGTTTTTTACATTTCCTCAAACTAAATAGAAGTGGGTCCTGTCTGTATCCTAGATACACACAGGATGTGATAATGTGATAAGATGGGAGCATCGCATACTGAATATTCAACCATATGGCACATGCAATTAAGTGCCCAGATGAATTTGTGACAGGTCACAGAAGTTTTTATTGATCTACTTATCAGCTGTAAAAAACAAGTTTCCTAAAACCTTATTTCTCACTCTTGAGCATGTTATCTTTTGTTATTAGTTTAATATTGTATTCTGGTTTTGTCCAGTTTGAGTACACATTGACTTGTGCAATCTGTACAAAGCCTCAAGAGAAAGAAATGAGAGTTTTAAGCAGAATATCACAGGTCAGTATACCGTCAAGATTGATCGCTATTTAATTTCTCCCTTTGAATTTAATTTCTTCATTTTGAAATAGATCGTCATTATTATGAACTAGTCTCTTGTCTTTTGGTTTTTTCATGAACATTTGTTTGTGTGGTGTACTTAATACATGTATTTGATTTATATTTTGTTGTTTTCCCTCAGAAAGTGTATGCTTCTCCAAATAGGAGGAGGTGAGTAGAGTTATAGTATTAAAATGCATTTAACTACAGTCAAGGAAAGAGGGTTGTGTACAAATACAAAATGTTTCATATTTCTAGCCTTATTCATGCTTTTCTAATGTTACTTTGCAAAAATTCTTTTATAAGATTTGTTCAAGTCATTTAAGAAATGTTTGATATTGATCTTTATTTCTGAGCAGTAATCCTGTTATGGCCATAAACAGGGCTTTTTGTGAACTTGTGTTAAAACTTGACAATTAAATATAATTTTTCAAACCTTGTGTTTTTTTTTTTCAGAATGGATTCTAAAGGAATTTCCGCTGAGATTTCATATCCCAACATATTTTTTATTCTAGACAATTTTGAAGAGGTACATCTTTTTTTAACCTGTCCTTCAAAATAATATCTAGTATACTATTAGTGAGAACTAAAGTTAGAACATTTTAATTTATATTTTGGTGACCATCATTGGCAACAAGAAAGGTACACATATTGTTGGTTTGATTTGTTGGTGCATCTCTAGGATCAAACAGCCAGTCCTTATACCAAACCATTGTTGGTTCTTGTCTTGGGTATTCCAGATATTGTGGTTTCCTTTCCTGTCATAATTGAAACAATGCTTTGTAACTTTTAGTCCCTTGTTAATGGTGCTACTGTTGACCTTTATTTTCAACAGACCTTCAGAGACTTTTCACTACAGGAAAATGAGATGGTTTGTGTGGAGTTAGTTGCCAAAGATAAGGTATTTAATCAGTTGTATAATGATACATTTTTATTGGCACCCACCTACAGACTCAATATGTCTTGATACATTTGTTTTGTTTGTGCATCTCGCTGTCCCCAGTAATGTGCTTCTGTCCTATCACATGTTGTTTCATTAAATAATTTAGAGCAGGAAAATTCATGAAATTTTTACTTCTATCTTATAGACGGAATCTGTGGAAGGAGTTATTTTCTTGGGATCCATAAGATATGAATCACTTAAAAAGGTTTATGATGGACGAGTAAGTTGGATGATGTACAATTTTTCAAGTTNTTGTTGTTTTCCCTCAGAAAGTGTATGCTTCTCCAAATAGGAGGAGGTGAGTAGAGTTATAGTATTAAAATGCATTTAACTACAGTCAAGGAAAGAGGGTTGTGTACAAATACAAAATGTTTCATATTTCTAGCCTTATTCATGCTTTTCTAATGTTACTTTGCAAAAATTCTTTTATAAGATTTGTTCAAGTCATTTAAGAAATGTTTGATATTGATCTTTATTTCTGAGCAGTAATCCTGTTATGGCCATAAACAGGGCTTTTTGTGAGCTTGTGTTAAAACTTGACAATTAAATATAATTTTTCAAACCTTGTGTTTTTTTTTCAGAATGGATTCTAAAGGAATTTCTGCTGAGATTTCATATCCCAACATATTTTTTATTCTAGACAATTTTGAAGAGGTACATCTCTTTTTAACCTGTCCTTCAAAATAATATCTAGTATACTATTAGTGAGAACTAAAGTTTGATAGCATTAGAGCAAATTTTAATTTATATTTTGGAGACCATCATTGGCATTGATTTCTAGGATCAAACAATCAGTCCTTATACCAAACCATTGTTGGTTCTTGTCTTGGGTATTCCAGATATGGTGGTTTCCTTTCCTGTCATAATTGAAACAATGCTTTGTAACTTTTAGTCCCTTGTTAATGGTGCTACTGTTGACCTTTATTTTTAACAGACCTTCAGAGACTTTTCACTACAAGAAAATGAGATGGTTTGTGTGGAGTTAGTTGCCAAAGATAAGGTATTTAATCAGTTGTATAATGATACATTTTTATTGGCACCCACCTACAGACTCAATATGTCTTGATACATTTGTTTTGTTTGTGCATCTCGCTGTCCCCAGTAATGTGCTTCTGTCCTATCACATGTTGTTTCATTAAATAATTTAGAGCAGGAAAATTCATGAAATTTTTACTTCTATCTTATAGACGGAATCTGTGGAAGGAGTTATTTTCTTGGGATCCATAAGATATGAATCACTTAAAAAGGTTTATGATGGACGAGTAAGTTGGATGATGTACAATTTTTCAAGTTTAGAGTTCCACGATAAAAAAATTGTAACTGTTTATTTCAAAATTTAGTATTTTTTTAAAATAAAATTTAGTATAATATTTTGCAATGTCTAGCATTGACTTCAGTATGACTAAGTGTCAGTAATGCAATATTTATCCCAGTCCTCCATGTAGATGAAAAGATATATCAAAAATCAATAGGCTCACACCAGTTCATTAGCGTATTTGATAATGTAAATGTTTCTTTGCTTTTGTCTTGTATGTATGATAATATTTGTCTGTTTTCCCATTTTTTAGGCTAGTGTAGCCAGTAAAGTTGCTCGTAAAGTATCAATGGGTTGGTGGAGAGGACCAGCTAATGTTGAATTCATCAAAATGAAAGGTCCAGCTGGTAAAGGTCATGCCGAGATGGCAATCACGCAACATAGGGGACTGGAGGAAAGAAGCAGTTTAGAAGACTCTGAAAACAGTGATTGGTAGGATTGTTTTTTTGTGGGGGAAGGGGGTGGGAAACTCTCATATAAAATAGACAGCCCAGGTGCTCAGCATACCTTCTAGGGGTTAAAAAGCCATTTTGTTACCTCTTAGGGTGTACAGCCTTAAAAGGTCCACAGCGGTAGCTTTTGTGGTACCTTTTAGGGTATTGGGTGGGAAAAAAATTTTACAGGAGATGATTCATTATTCTTCTTAGAATTGGCACATGTACCTCTGGGGGGTGAAGAATTTTCAAGCCACGCCCACAAAACTGTACCTTGGTACCCCTTAGGGGTTCTTTTCAAAATTTCTGATAAGCACCCCCGTCATTTTTATATGGGAGCCCCCACTGGTGTTTTTATTACATAGAATTTGCATCAGTTCTGCAGTAATAAACATCCTAAACATCACTCTTCATGTTGGAATTGATGCTTGTTTTATCCAGGAGAACATGTTCTGACTGTGGAGAAAAAACGTCTTCTTCCTTGACCAATCATCAAGTGCCTATTCAGGATGAGAAGTGCTCTTGTGGTGTGCAGTCCAAATATGGTGAATATCCCAAATGGACTGCAGGACTTGATGGCTCAAACTACAGTGAAACCAGCTCAGACAAAAAGAAAAAAGGTTATTAAATAATTTATTAATAAATAGCACTGGCTTTTAGTTTACCCCCAGAATCACTGGTATTCACTCTTGTGCCAGTTTTAAATTAAGCTGTCTACTTTTGGAAGTCCCCAAGTTAGTACTTTGTAAAATTGATCTTTGCTTGAAACCATGCTCCTTAGAACATTAAATTTTTGCTCTTGATCTTATGGTGTATAACATTGTACAAATATTAATCCAATTAGAACAATATATAGTTTTAGTTGTCAATTGATGCACAAAACAATCATAAAATAATGTTAAATATTTAGTGAATCACATGAAAAGCTATGTAGTACGTATTAAATTCAATTTGTTCTCTAAATTAGGTTTGTTATCACCCTCACAGCACTGGATGAAATTCAGGTACATTCTAAAACTAAGCAAATCAAAACCTCGTTAAAATTGTTTTGATATGAATTACATATACCCAGAATGACATGTTCTTGAATATTAGTGAATGGCTGACAGTTGCACAGTCAATCAAATGTGCAGATTAATTTAATAAGAGATCGTTAGACTTAGAGCCACCAGAGATATGTCAGTATGGGAAACTGGCATCCTGACTTCACTTTCTGGAGTTGTCAATGTGAGCAACAGTCATAATAACTTAAAAAAGAAATTTGGTGAAGGCATACATGCACATTGCAGACAGATGTTCTCTTAATTTTTATCTTCTGACAGGTCGAGTTCTGTGTATTTTAGTCTCTATCTCATTTAATATTATTTGATTGTTTACAAGTGTTATATATATCATTGATTTACTAAATTCTTGTCATCTCCAGAAAGAAAAATCTAAGTCCACTTGCCCTCTCAGCGTACCTAACATATGTGACTTTACCTTGGAATAAAATTATGAAAGGTGAGTTCACATTTCACTGAAGGATTTCAAAAGGTTAGCTACATGTGTGTGCCTTGTGTTGATTTGCTGTCTGTCTGTCTGTCTTTCTGTCTGTCATCTGTTTGTCTGAAGTAATACCCTGCGCATTACCTGTTACCTGACCGCCAAGTGCACAATAAGGCAGGCCTCCACAGTGTTATTAGCTTTTCAGGAATAAATGTTCTGTGTCGTATTTTAACATTATGTTTCTTATTATTTACCTTTGCTGCAGATATCTTGGAAGTGAGACAACCTTCTATTTTAACATAGCATTAAATAATTCCTAGATTCATACAGTTCATATACAAGTAGCAAAATTTTATTTATCTGTTATCAGTTCCATGATAAATACACTTACCTTTTATAATTTTTAAAGTGCTTGGTGCATTTTCATTCTCAAACGGCCAAATAATTACTTTGGAAGATTTATTTTGAAAGTGATTTCATGAAAATGTGATTTTTATATGAAATACATTATGTGGTAGTTTGGTGCAAATCGGTAAGGTAATAGGGTAGGTTAATAAATGGTAATCTTTGAATATATTCACTTAGCACACAGTAATTTTTATATAGAAGACAGAAGTATAAAAATGTATGGGTGCCAATTCAAACCAATCTTAAGTATCTAGGGTAACATATCCAGTAGTAACTGAGGGATATGTTGAGTTTTAAAGTCAGGGAATGTTTAAATTTGAGCCATCAGCTACTGTATGACTTGTACATACAGGTAATCCAAGTTTGGAGTGAGCAGTGCAGAACTTTTGTGAACCTCAAAATTTGTGGTCAAGACAACTGCTGCACAAGGGTCTAAGTAGTCACTTGCTTAATGTTGAAACTGAGGGAAAAGCATTTGGTTTGCTCAAATTTGAGGCTATTACAATTTTTTAACCTACTAGACTTCAACATAGCAGTAGAAGTATGCAATGCATACAACAGGCTATTTACAATATTTGACACATTGTGGGGTTTTGGGTATTAATCCTTATAAGTTAAAGGGAAGTGACACAAATTACTTTTTATTGCAATACTAAGGATTGTTGCAACTGTAATGCTTTGACTTAAGAATGAGAATGTTTGGTTAAATGTTGACTGCATTTTCAGGTGACCATATTGGCATATTCTATATTTTGAACTATGGTATTGTACATAATATAATTGTATTATTATCAGAAGAAATCATTATTTTTGATATGGACTGTAACTACCACGACAAACATCAGCAGAGTGTCAATGGTTTATTTACCACTATTTATTATTCACATAGAATATAAAATGCCGCCAACATATATTTAGAGAATTACTTGCATAGCAGAACAATTTAACATGGTAGAGTTTTTGAAAACATTACTGAAACAATACTCAATTTTGAGGTGTTTTTGGAAATTAGATTTGAGAAATTAAAACTTTTCTGATATTGGATTCACTTAAACTGAAATGTTCACATGTTCAAATTTGCTTCTTGGTCTCATTCAATTCATCAAGGTAGAACTATGAAAATTATAATCCTAAAGTTGTTACTATCTGATCTTAATATAGGTTTTTTAAATTTTAGTTTTCTAATTACCTTTACAATCAAATTTCCAAATACAGTGGAACCCTGTCAATATGGCTAGATTGTTGGGGCGCGATGGTGACCAGATTAACAGGGTTCCTGTATTATAGGGGTTCTTTAAATAAGAAAAATAACTGAGCTTTTGTTTGGACCAGAATAAAGCAGCTGTAATAATGAGGTGGCCCAATAAACAGGGTGGCTGTAAGGAAGGTTCCATTGTACTTCAAATTTCATCAAAACACTTATGGTCAACTTCAGAAAGACTTATTAGCATTTTTGATATAGGAGAATTTGATTTGTTTTTCTCTTTAACCCACAGTGATGATTTCTTTCATTTCTGTTCCAAAAAAGTGCGATAAAATACTGGGAAGCCTAAACTGCCGATACGATCTTCTACTCTTGCCCAGTCCAGGCTAGTGGGTGAATTGTCATCTTCCTGGTTGATACTGAAACCCAATAAATTAATCAAAGTACTCATTCTCATTTTGCTACATTAGAATTGTGATCATTTCCAAAATCAGTTTGAATAACAAAAGTGATTGATATCATATTTCTCCTTTCAATGTCAATACATTAGCCAGAAGTCAAGTAATGAGAATTAAGATATTATTAAATGGTACTGGTATATTGTATTGATAATGAACTAACGTTTAAAAAATGTATGACTTATCACTCTGGGACTTATTATTAGAACATACTGTGAGGGAACTGAAATTCTTCAAATTCCAATTTTTCTCAGTCAATCAGAATTTGGATTTAGTGTTGAAGTTGATCAAAGATCTTAATAGCGCATGGTTTGGGTACTCAGGATGACATCATAATATACCAAGAATTTTATGATTGGAATTTAGAAATATAACAACAATGGAATCCAAATAAAGAAACGCATTGATTCAGTTGTTTCCTTGTTTATTGTGATCTGATAGTTATATTTGTCAAGATTTAACAAATTGACGACAGTTTTTCATGCGTCTGTCCTGTTACTGATCATGAATTTCGTCATGACATTTTCAAAGTAGCTGTGGATCCATGAGGCGATAGATCACCTCGTGGATCTGCAGACTTCTTTGACAATGTTACGACAAAATTCATTGTCAATAACAGGACAGACGCATGAAAAACTGACGTCAATTTGTTTTTTATGATAACAGTGTCAGCTCTCACTCCATGATGCATTGCATAAATTATAAATTCATGTGTCTGCCCGCATATTGACAATGAAAATTAGCCAATGAGTGCACAAGAATTTCTGCAGCTATTGTAAAAAATGTGATTGACACTTCAAACCTTCTGTTTTTCGTTTTGTATGCAGTCCATGAAATAAAGGGGTCTGTTTATACAATCAAGGGTATATCGGCAGGCAACTTTTGAAATTTTTAAATCAACTTCGTCTTGAGGCCTGGAGGATTCAAACAAAGGAAATATTAAATGAGCATGTTTATTATTTTTTTATTTGTGTCCTCTGGGCCTCACCAACAAACTGAATTTTATATACCAAAAGTAGCCTATTCGGCAACCCCTACAATGGTAAGAGGGTGTATTCTAACCAACCTTAATGTCAAAAAATGGGTTTGTTTTGAGCATTGTACAAGAGGCCAAAACAAACCAAGCTGCTTCTGCAGGTTAGCATCCTTTGACTTCAAAACACTTTGCCTTTAAATGAAATTATGACCACAGATAGATTCAGACCAAACTTGAATTTATTTACAAACATGCCAACTTAATAGAATTGAGTACACCAACTGGACTGATTTTTTGCTGATGAAATTGAGATTAGAAACTAAAGTATTTTTATTCACCTAGCACATCTTGAAATGTTCTCAACTTAAGCAGTTAGTAATAATTCATCAACTTAAAACAGAGGAAACCATGACTGTGTTAGATGGATTGGATCATCCAATCTTCAGTAGCACAGCTTAATTTTCTCTCCCTGTTTTTCTTTGTTTTCTCATTATTGTATTTAGTTGTTGTTTTGATTAAGAAGATACATCAAGCACTCAACTCTTAAGACCATTTTAACATATTTCCAAACATGTCCAAGTTGGTAAAATATACTCCACTGTGCATTATATGTTTAGGAATAAGGTCTCTTGAGTTTGATAAACTGTATCTCAAACATTTCGAAGAATTGTGTTCACTAGCAATGATAGTTATAGTGTTGTAAGCTCAATGCCACATCCCAGTCGTCAAAGTTTTTTTTCTGTGTCCATGTTATGCACATGAGGCTAGTAAGAGCTTTCAGTGAAATTTTCAGAACCGGGCAGCTTCAAGTTAACAAGTTTTCTTAGCAGAGACATTGTCTTGATTGTATTGTACAATAATTTATAACTCCTGTCCATGGCATTTGTTTTCCATGACTGTTAAGTTAATGCTTGTCTCACCAGGAGAGATTCAAACGCTTTCTTCCCAAATTTTTTCTCTCAGTCTGCTAAATTATTTTTAACAACAGTATTGACAAACAGATCAGAAAAGATAATTACATGCCACTTTGTTTGCCCCACTCAGACCTGAAAGGAAAAATTATAATACAGACAAAATTAGCAAAATAATGAGTACTGTTTTGTGACTGTTGCGTTCTTGAAGTTTGTTTTCTTGTATCCACAAATAACTTGTTCTATTCACTTCGAAAAGAGCTTAAATTTAATCATTTCAAAATGCATTTAGCAAAGTACAGTACTGATTAGAAATAAAAACAGCAAAATGGTTCTCATTTTTAACAACACATATTATGGTTTCATTCATACTTAAAAGTAAGTTCCACATCCATGCACAACATGATAAAAAGTCCATCATGAAAGTATTACTAAAAAGCTTTCAGGTAAATGGATAGAATAGTGAAGGTGTCAGAACCGTATTATTAATATTGAATTTGACTCTGGAAGTGAAAGGGATGAAACATTACACAAACAAGACCCCACCTTTTGACTGTGTATAGTCTTTCTGAAAGCTTCTTATGTAGAGAGGACAGTTCTGAAATGCTTAGTGTTGATTCTACCAACTCGCATACCTGAAAAATTAAAGTACCACACAGGCCTAATTATAGGGCTGGCATATAAATCTTAATTAGTTGATTTACTCTTACCGTGCAAGCTATTCATTAAAAACCTATTAAATTTAACAGGCTTGCAACAGTAAATTGCTGAGGCCTGCAATCTGAGCAAAATGCTACCAAGGATTAAATCTAAGTTAGAGTAGCAGCCCAGCCAGAGAAGCACAAGCAACAAATATGGAACCCAGAGTAAAGCCCTAACTTGTGCTTGCTGTACACAAGACTATGAGTAGTCCCTCTTTTGCTTAGTCAGTCGTGTGTGATGCAAAAAAAAAAAAAAAACATAAAAACATAAAAAACACAAAAAAATGGCTGGGCAAAATCCTGAAGGTGAGAAGCGTTTTGCCCCCAGGATTTCACTCAGCCATTTTTTTCTTCATGATTTATTTATGGTAGATCACTCAACAGACTAAGCAAAAGAGGGACAACTCATAGTGTAGCTGGTCACCCATATTCTCCAACCCTTGAATCAAGAGAAACTACAATTAAAACCACTCTACATTCATGTTGTCAAAGATTTCTGCCCAGACAAAACAAAAAAAGCTGACTTGTTACTCACCAGTGTGTTGTAGGCTGTTATTCTGCTGGCATAATGAACTATCTTCTGAAGAAGAGTTTCATGAGGTGCTAACATGCTTGAAACACACTTAGGAGCCTGTAAAAGAACGGATCAGATACATGCACAAAAATAGACCAAAAGGTAAAGTCTGCATACAAGCCAAGTGGCCCATCAAGCCGAAGCATATCCCAGTATCTGTAGCATGAAGCAACTAGGAGTATTTCCCGGGGTATGCAATCGAAGGAAATCGATGATCAAAAAACCAATCGATCAATCGATATCAATCGATAAAATTAGTTAATTGGTATCGACTGGTATCGGTCAATCGATCATCAATCGCTAACCACACAAAAACCATTCATCGATTGCATCGATTGGCACAGCAACCTCAAACCTGTCCGATCATCCACCATTTTTAGGAAGCCCAGGGGACATAATTATTAAAATAATTCTGACCCAGTCTTCTCAACGCAAAGAATATACCCCGTTGCACGTGTACTTCATTACCCACTTGCTTGTCATTGCCTTTCTGTGTCATTATATATGTCTACGCAAGAAGTCCGGGAAGAGGCTTTACTGAATATAAGGTGCATCGCAAAAGGCTATCATCTTTGCCATTTTGAGATGAACGTCCGTGAAGTATTTACTGTTGACAAGAAGAGGGGAGAACGCGGAGACGCGTTTAAAGTTGTTAACCAAGCAAGAACAGGAACAAACTTTTGAGTTGTCAAAAGAAGACGAGTACCTGTAGATGGGGCGTTGAAGAGAAAGAAGAGAGTCTTGTTCTCCTGTTAACGTTCAAAGGATTAAACTGAAATCTGTTGACAATTACTGCGTATAAAGAGGGGGTATTTATGCACCGATTCCTTCAATGTGCAACCAATCGATACCAATCGATATCAATTTATCTATCGATTGTTTTTGAAAATCGATACCAATCGATAACCACACGAATCTTTGCCATCGATTGGTCATCGATTATCAATATCAATCAATTAATCGATATCAATTGGTATTGACTGATATCAATTGTCATCGATTATCGATTTCATCAATTGGATACCCTGGGGTATTTCTACTCCCTCCTGGATGGATGCTAGTCCATTACAGGATTACCTCCAGCATTAAATTGGCCAATACCCATTTGTGCACCTGGGTAGAGAGAGGCACTGTGAGAGAAAAAGTGTCTTGCCCAAGAACACGACACAATGTCCCTGGCTGGCCAGGGCTCGAACCCGGACCACTGGATCCAGGGATGAGCTCACTGTGAGGCCACTTTGCCTCCCACAAAAAATTGACCAAGGTCTTCTTATAATCAATTCCAACATAACAAGCAGTTACCTACCTTAGCAGATTCTGAAATAATATCTTTCAAAAAGCTAGTTGCCACAGTAAAGTACTGGTGGTGAATGTCAGCAATATCAACTTCGCAGTTTCCATCGTGCTGATTTCTTATTGTGTCTTTGGATGAACAAGCTATTGCATCTGTTGATTCTCTTCTGTTAGCTTTTGAAAACATAAAAATCCACATGTTTATAGTCAATAAAATGCAATCAAGATTATTACTGTCTTGTAAATCTAGTATCTTACTGACCTGTCAATTGGACCAAGTCACTTTCTGGGAAGAGTTGATCTCTAACTTGAAAAAAAGATCCTTCCCCCTGGTTACCCATGGATTTTGATAACCATCAACTGGTTAACACAGTTAGTATAAGTAAGGACCCTGCAGTTTGCAGGGTGTTAGGTTGGAGAATTTTATTTCAGGACAGACCATCCCTAAGGGAGATAGTGTGGCATTTGCTATGACATGACCACAATTCGCAAATGGTTACACCTTCAGATGGTTTAAATGACCGTGTAGAATGGCAGTCCTGTCAGTAATCTGGGAATACAAATGAGCCTGGCAGATCTCCAGCAGTACCAGCCATAAAGTCAGCTTAACACAGTCTTCAAAGGTATAGTGTTCAATTGGTACGTGTACCACCATGAAAATTAATGACATTACAACAAGGTATTCACAGAGTGACCAGTCAACTCTTTACTACTTACCTTCTGCTTCATCAGCTAGTTCATCCTCTGGCTTATCCTGGTTACAAGATTTTTGTAATTCTTCTCTTAGCTCAACATTTTCTTCGTTTTGAACACAATTTGTACTTGTTGAAGGTTCAGCACCCGACGAAACAGATTTGTTTGCATAGTTGTCAGTGTCATTTTTAAGACTGCTAAATGTATCTTCATTGCTAATACTTCTTTCAAACTTGTGTTCATCACTTTCAGTGAAGGAGAGTCTGTTAATGCTATTTTTACTTCTTTTGCGATGAATCTTGCATGAATATCCTAGAAGACCCAAGAGCACCTTCATAATTCTTGGATCTGCAGAAAAAAAAGAATGCACCACATTTACAAGAATCCTCCTCAAGTGACTACTACAGTATCTATAACACTCTTCACAATTAACCATCAAGACTTCAAGACTTTGCCCAGTCATAGGCCTGCAATGCTGGCAAATAATTGCCATGTAGACTCCTACACAAATTACACCTTCTACACATGCATGTTTACAATGATGCTTAATTACGCAAATAAGAAGTAAAAAAAAGTTTGGAAGCAGCTTGTCTCAAGTGAAAGTCGTGAACCACTGGAAGACATACAGTCATATAACTATAACACCTATAAAACTTTAGTGTTACTATTTCATATAGTGTGATCGTTCGGGTGATTGTTGTTCTGAAAAGAACTGTTGTTGGCGACTGATGTTTCGACAACCTGAGCAGAAGTTAACTTCTGCTAGGTTGTCGAAATGTCAGTCACCAACAACAGTTCTTTTCAGAGCTACCCTCACCCAGACAATCACACTACACAAACTACTAATACTCCTGGGTTCAAACCATTTAATATGAAACCTTACTATATAAGATTACATTCAGAACCAACCCTTTTCCATGGCCGTCAGCACAGTAATGGGATCTGACACAAGAATTACATTCATTACTGAGAATGATTCAGTAAGTGACACTTCATGGCCGACAATTATCCCTCCTTCATCATGTCCACACTCGGCAATAAAATGACACAGCAGTGGGACAACAGATACACAATTCACTGAAAAGGAAAAAGGAAAAATCATTAACCTTAAATAAAACAGTGGAATGGGTCACTGAATATATACATGTACAGCCCAGGTACTTCATAACACTCCCAGTGTAAGCTTCATTAGCTCAACTGTATTTGGCTTCTTGTTGCCAGGACAGTTAAAGAGTAAGTTTACAAGTATATCAAATGCTGGAGGACCAAAGGGTCATATTGATGAAATAACTTGCATATGATCCCATCTATGGGATAGGTAGCAATACCCTTGGTCATTTCATCCTATGAATCCAGGGAAATTGCTGGCTAAAAAATCGAGGTCAGATTAGCTTTCCTCAATTTAAAGGAAAATATTTTCACAGTCTTTCTGTTGTTATTTACTCACCTAATCCTCTGACACCTTGTTCAACAGTGGATACCATTTGTAGAATATGAAGAAGAGTTTCAACAATGTGCAGTTGCTCAGATCTTGAAGATAGAAACAATGCACACCTTTTGTAATAATGTTTTCAAATATTGCAATTTTTTTCTGTTTACTGGTGAGTAATTACATGACATTGCATAGTGAGAGATTCTTTCTGACAGCTGGGAGAGGGTTATTAGGCAAGGATGCGCATTCAGTATGGTACGCTATCCAACAACACAGAGAAAAGGAAAATTTACCTCACATGCATTTGTTTCATAGCTTCACAAACGGCAGTAACCAAAGGCAAGTCAGCCCAAGTCCTTAACATCTCATCACTTGAATCAAGCACTTTATCGACCACCTGTGAACAGTTGGTTAGGAGGTCCACTGCAAAGTAACAAGACAGAATGATCAACATACAAGCTCTCCTTAGAGTTTTTTGCCATACATTTTCTATAATTACATGTAAGAAACAGTCAGTCTGACTCAGTACTTTTTCCGTGTTTACATAGCCTCATCTAAAGATGACAAAGGTTGGGAGAATTTGAGACAATTATTCAAACCTAAGATGCAGAGAAGGGTTTGCATAACTTTCGAGAATTCTCCCAACCTCCCGAGTGCACATTTAGATGAGGCTATGTAAACACGGAAAAAAACCCTCTATTGATTCTATAAAATATTTCTCAAAAACATACTCGCGAATCTAAAATGTAACAACCATTTTACGTACTCTCATCTAAAAACTGCAGCTCCCAATCAATGAGAGTGCATGTAGTATCTCAGTTATTTTATAACAATGACTAGAAGCCAGTGAAACACTATATGTTAAATGTTTCATCCTTGACTGATGAATACAGTCTAAACCTAACAACTATCAACACAGCTGCTAAGCATTGAACTTGTGTCTGGCTGAGAGATGTAAACCTCTTTAAACATTTCATGTATCTTACCATTCAGAGAGTTCTCCAAAATGTAGATGAAGTTCTTGAAGACCGATTCTGTCTCTAATACCGTCATCCACTGTGGTTCCACTTCGTCATTACTTAAACACACATGAATCAATCTAATGAGAAAGAAAAAAACAAAAAAAATTCAAAACAGTAGACTTCAGATAATATGCAACAAGGTCAAACATTTCCTATTTGAACTGTCTACTTCACATGTAGTTTTTACCGGTGAAGTTCATGTTTTTTTGGTTTGATAACCTATTTATTACCAATAGAGGACAATCCCAAAGACGAAACAAAAAAAAGACTCAAATGTCAAAATTATTATATAACATTGAATTCTATGTAAAGAAGAAGGTATTTGAGTTTTACCTTGTTACCTCCACAAGAACTGGTGCATCTGGTTCATCAAGCAACACAGTCACAATATCACTGAATAAAAGAAAATTGGAATTAAACACAGCTTGCTTGATTAAAAGGCAACCTTTTTGTGCATAAGTTAAGACTAGTCAGTTGATCAGTCACTACAATTTGTAATTACATAGTACCAGTCATTGTCACCAACAGATCAATAGACGGATGCACAAAATTAAATTCCTTTTCTAGAAAATAATACTTACAGGAGATCTTTATTTCTCATCATTTTGACACACACATCATGACTGCAGGCCATATTTGCCAGAATGCCAACACATATTTCCTGTCAGTTACAAAGAAGATAAAAAACTTACCCTGATTTTGTGATCCCAAAGGAGAGTAAGAAAAATTAGAAAGACTTGGAGACAGACATTATCTGGCCAGTTTTTCCTCAACATTTACATCAGCACCCATTTATTGTTACATTTGGGTAAAGAGAGGCATAACGTAAAATTATATTACAGACCGATTCTTCTCAGTAGGAAATAAATTAAGCTGTGCACTCACTGTGACTCTTGAATTCTGTGACTTTAATACAGCATCTAGAAGAACTTCAGTTGTTTCCATTTCTTCCAAAAATGCAGCGACATCCTATAGTTGAATGTAACGTATTTTACTACACGCAACATTACAGGGCAAACAACATTCCACATTAACGTAACAGACCGTAAAGGTACAAGATTTCAACCCTTAATTCCCAATTTAATGCTAGAACTTAATTTATAAATATTATTATATACAGATACTGTAAAGTACTCAAAATAAATCATCAATTTCTCTACACTATCAGTCATAGGGATGGCAAGACTCACTCTCTTTTGTGGCACCAATCTCAGAATCTCAATTTGTTCCATAAGCCTTGAGTGCACTCAGAAATTCTCAAACTCCCCCTGCCCCATTATCCCCCCCCCCCAACTTCTTTTCTCTTCCCAAGCCCCTGGGGGATGAGGACAAGAAGATGTCTGACATTTCAGACCAATGACCTTCTTTTTGATCAGAGTAGATATTTACCAGGTACTAATTGTTCGAAAGGTGGATAACTCAATCCACCGGATAAATCACTAGCCAGTGGACAGCGTTACCCACGTTTTGCACAACCTGAGCCAGAATGGTACAAAAAATACTTATTAAGTTGTGTAGCATATGTAGAAATAATTATTTTCAAATATGCGTAACTATAGGTCTAAAACCAAAAAACTCATAAGGGAAAAATAGTTTTATGTTTCCAGTTTACAAAATAACTTCTCCACCTTACCCTACCCCGAAAGGGTTGTCACAGGTCACGCATTCTCAAACACGTATAAAAACAGCGCAGCTTTCAGTCATTTTGCGATGAGACCTTTAAAACTCTTAACTTCTTCTTTCGGTCACTTACCGAGTTCATAGACATGTCCCATAGTTCACACAGCTCCCTTTCAAAAGCATCGCTCAACTCGTGCGAATTTTCTTCCTCGCGCGGTTCAGCGTGTTCGCCGTTTTCGCCAACTTCGGAATCCTCCGTGTTCTGAAGGGACTGCACCAACTTCATTAGAGTTCCTAGGACCCATTTCTTACTAAAAACTGTTTCACCAATATTGTCGTACTGTATTAACTCGATTTCTTCCGCAGATAATCGAGGAGGGGAAGGGTTTCTGTCTGCCATCTTTGAATCTCTTAGCTCTTCGCGCAACGATCGCGGCCTCTGTCCCTGTGTTGTTCGGAAAGTTGTTCGCAAATCTTCGGAAAACGTTCGGCTGTTCGTTCGGCTACGCCAAATTAAAGTCGTGTCCAGTCTGTTGAGGAAAGAACAACAGAAGGAGCAAAAATGGCGGACAATGTTCCCGAAAGTAGTGGTTCGTTGAAACGAAAACTTGAGGAAGGTGAGACTCAGAAAACAAAAGATGAAGACATGGCCTCGCCACCAGCTAAAATTCGAGCTACAGATGATAAAACAAGCGAAGCAGGTCCCGCCAAACCAAATGCTCCTGATGTGGAACAGAGCGCTGGATCATCAAATCAAACCAGTGGGGATAGTAACGGTGAAACGTACGGAGAAAGAGAGAAAATGCAGTGAGTATATGTCATAAGACACGTCTAAATTGCTTGGATATAAAGCTTGGTGTTTAATTATGTCCTGTTGATCTTGGCTTGACGTCGCTGGTGTCATACAGCGCCAAGTGTTAACAAAACAAACGACGCTATCCACAAGAGCTCGAGAGTGATTTCTGTTAAGTAGCTTTATTCATGCTTTAAACAACTGAGTCCAGTTGTCTACAGTAACACTATCTACACCAGATTCTTGGTTTGTACAGCAAGAGAAAGTTATTTTGGTAGTGTTGCAGAGGTATATGAGCCCGGGTATATGAGGGAGGGGATGCAAGGTGAGTATTCTTTATATATGCCTAGGACTGGAACAGGCCTACAGTCAAGTGCAGTTCATGTTCTACATTGCACTTGTGATTTGTTTTGTTTAGATTTTGTTGGTGTGTAGATCTATACTCCTACTTGCTCGACTTCATTCTGAGAGGAGAGGGGTCGGTAAAGGCTGATTGGAGGGAATAGGAGGAATGTGGTGCAACCATTATCGCTTGTGGTCACCCGTCTTACCCACCCCCGCAGAATTTCAAAAGACTTTCCTTGGGATGCTTATGGAAATTTCCTAGCACTGTACATTTTTACTTTTCAGTGGGTTGATAATTCTTTCTCTTTGGCAGATTGCTTGTGTCTTCTTTCTCAGAGGAGCAACTGAACCGCTATGAAATGTACAGAAGGGCAGCTTTTCCCAAGGCAGCCATTAAACGGGTAAAATAAGAATTAAGGAATAAATAATGGTTTCCTGTTTTATACCTACAACATCAAGAACTCATTATTAGCATTGTTTTTAGATTATGATGTAGAATGTAGATTACTTTTTTTGTAAAAAAAAGAGTCAGTTAAAATAATCTGTAAAAGAGACTTGGTGGGATAATTTTTGAAATGCTGTCTCTGTAATGCAGTATCTTAACATTTTAGTTTGATTTAATTAATTTTGACTCTTGTTATTTTTCTTATTTGGCTTCAAAGTTCATGCTGACTGTCGACTGCCCTCATTTGCAGAATAGATTGAGCACAAAAAATGGCTTCAGAGACAATGTTATTTTTTCCAACTATGATTGATTTAATTTTGTAAACCACCTATGAAACAGCTTGGCACAGATTCCATCAGCAAAAGTTCATGGCAACACACGCACAGTGCAAACAAATGCACTTGTTGATTTATGCATTTCCTTGATTCTCATTATTTCACTTGCAACCTGTTTGTTTTCATATATCACTAAATTCAGGACTAATAGATTGCTTTAACAGGTTCATTTAAGTGATCGATTTTGACATCAAAGAAACATTCTGAGCAAACTTCTGTATTTACTTACAGCTAATGCAGAGTGTAACAGGAGGGTCATCAATTCCTCCAAATGTTGTCATAGCCATGGCAGGAATAGCCAAGGTCTTTGTGGGAGAAGTTGTAGAGGAAGGTATGTTTCTTACTTGACTCTGCGTTACTTTTACAGGGTGATCACAATTCAATCTTTTCTGGTAAGGTTAATGAAAGCTCTAATACTCGGCTTCTAGAACTCGTGTCCAGTGTGCGAAACATTGAGCCATGAGGCATGAAGCCACTAGGAATATTTCTATCCCCCCTGGATGGAATGCAAGTCCATCACAGGTTTACCCCTGGCATTAAAATTTATACACCTGGTTGTTGAGAGGCACTGTGAGAGTAAAGTGTCTTTCCCTAGAACACAATGTCCCTGGCCAGTGCTCAAACCCAGACTGTTCACTGTAACCATCAGGTGTCCGTGCCACCACGACAGAAGAAGTAATCCTGGTCAACAAGTCACTGCAATTGGAACTTCATATCTGATGCAGACTTTTGACTTGTTTCCTGTAGTCCTGGTTATTAAGTGCTCATTGTTTTTGATACTCAGCTTGTGATACTATGGAGCAATGTAAAGAGAAGGGGCCCATACAGCCAAAACATCTGAGAGAAGCTGTCAGAAGGCTAAAACGAAAGGGTCTTGTTCCAAATACAAGATATCAGAAACGGCTATTTCACAGGTAAAGTTTCAATGCATTCATCAAATAAAAGATTGTTATACTGGGGGTTTTGATTTGCAGTGAGAAAAGTGTAGCTTGGCTTCATTTTCCACCGTAGTCGTCGAGTCTGAGAAATTCATGGTAGTGAAAAAGTTTCCGGGTCTTAGTTCTTGCGATTATAATCAACTCAGACATGATGATAGATGCGAATGCAGCCATAACACTACTACTGCTGTTGGACATCTATTACCATATAATCAACTTAACAAATAGATTCCATGTTGCCGTGCATCTGTTCAGTAGTAGATCACAGATGATGCCAAAATGTGGTAAGAACAAAAAAGTGGCATACAAGCTGTTAGGCGAGTGTGTCACTGATGTTCTTACCACATTTTGACCTCTCATGGCTGTGGTCTATTATTGAACAGACGCATGGCAACATGGAGTCAATCTTTTTTATATAATAAAGAAACAAAAAAGTGATGACCTCATCTAAACGTCTCTCCACCAATAGATCATAAGTGAGAACCAATCAAAATGCAAGAATAATTTGACTTATTGTGTAATCCTTGTCAGGCTACAAGGAACCCATCGCCGGTTTTTCTAAGTCAGTTGAGGGTGACGCTAAAGAAAGCGCGAGAGGACAAATGACCGCACACACAAGGGTGAGAACGCCCAAGGAAAGTCTCTGGTTTTATCAACAGTTTCTGTTTTTCGCCCTCACTTGCGCACTAGCAGCTAAATTGCACAGCACTTAAGTGCACTCCTGTTAGCCTAAATACCCCGTTAGCCCTTAGTTTACTTAAACAGCAGTACGATTTGCCTGAATAGCACCCCGGTTGGCCTGGATATCGTTCTGGTTACCCTCAGTAGCGCTAAAGCTACATGTACTTGCCCTCGCGCGGCCTTTTTTCATTTCGCGCGGTCTTTCGCGTTACACGCGATGGCCTAACAAAACCAGGCGCCACTAATAGTCTGCATGTAGTTTAAGTGCTCTCTACTGTATAGAGAAAGGTGACACTGTATAAACGAGACGGTGAATGGAGAAATGGTCTTTCCTTTCACTTTTTTCTAAGCTGGCATGTTTCTAATTCTTTTGTAGATGAACTTTAGTACAACTCTGGATCAGGAGCGTTAAAAACCAACAGCCAGGGAATGCGAGAAGTTCTTCACGTGTGAAACTCTGTACTGGAACAGTTGTACAGACTGAAATAAGTCTGAGTGGTCAACGAACTTAACTTGGATTAGTCAGCTGGAAGAATTGGAGAGTTAATCAATGACAACCATGAAAACAAACGTTTAAAAAACGGTGGTTATGTTGTAAAGCAGGAGGCAACAAGATTCGAGGACTGGGATACCAGAATCCCCGTAGCCATGTCTAAGGACTTGTATTTAGTCGTCATTATCAGCTTGTAAAAAAAGTTGTTTGGTAACCGAATGAAAATATAAAACATTAAAAGTTAGTGATAGGAAAAAAATGAATAATCATATGCTCGAGTTAATTTACTCGTGGTGAAGCTCAGTAGAGCCAGTGAATTACAAGCCACATCAGCCTTGGCTGGGTTTCATGCGGCTGCTCTATCCTGGTCAAATTGGAATTTGGAGATGTTGACTTTTGTGGAGGGACGAAAACCGGAGAGCCCGGAGAAAAACCGGCCTTCAAGCAAGGCGAGAACCAACAACAAACTCAACCCGCATATGGCACCGGGCCGGAATCGAACCCGATCACATTGGTGGGAGCCAGCGCTTTAACCACTGCGCCAACCCTGCTCCTTCACGGGTCCTTCACGGGTCCTTCACGCTTAGGAATATTCGTTAGTAGTAGAGGATAAGTGAATGTAGTGAAGTTTGGTTTCATAGAACTTTAATCGCCTATAGCTGGTTTTGATTTGTTTAGTAATAAAGACGTCTTAAGAGCTTCTTACTGTCTCAAATTAAAACATCGCAAAGAAAAACAATACATATTTAATGAGGGTAATATTTCGAAAACAATGTCTTGGTGTGGGCCAATCAGCTCCTGTTTTAACGTGATACGAAGATTGCAATCGGCGTTTTTCAACTTTGTCAATGACAATTTACACAGCCGGAGGATTGACAATTTTATGCATGTAATATGAGAATTGTCGACGGTTATCTTAGTAACTAAACAAAGAAAAATCACGCTATTCTCGTTATATTTTAAGTATCCAAAGGTTATTCGCCGGTTGGTAATTCAGTTGAAATCGCTATTGCCGGCCTTTTTTCAGTTCCAGCTGCAATATAATAATTGTCTTAAAATAAATACTTCGTGTTTTAACTTCACAAGACTGATTTTGAACCATGAAAAATAATCAGTTTAGACTCTATCCACCCAGGCATGGAATAGGGTCAGATTCAAAAAATAATTATATTACTTTGATACAGTTTTTTAGATATTCTCACCATCCAAACCTGGCATAAAGTAGATAATGTTTTACCTAAGTTTTCTCAAGAAACCCCTATCTCCTTCGTTCGGTTTCCTTGGAGCGAATTTACCCCAGGCGTTTTAAAGTCTCTGTTTCAGTAGTCACCCATTACCTAAGGCAGTTGACGTTAGCCGATATGTGGAGATCTGTTAACTGGGTTGAAAAATTTGTTTCATATACGTAGTAAAAGATGGTAATTCACTTCCCGGCAAACAAATTAATCTCGTCATGGCTGTGCTGTCGTCATGGCGTGGTTACCAAGTGCAATTACAACGTAGTTTTACAAATTTTCATTGTCTTCTTTTAGTATTTACTCAGACTCCGCCACGGCAGCAAGATGTCTTAAGAATAACAAAGTACTTATACAAAGGAAAAAAGCTGTATATTAAACAGGACTGTGCTTTATGTCAAATAGGCGCGAACCTGTCACAGGCTCTTAATGATAAGTACTCTAGTTTCGCGCACTTTTGCCTTGTACGGAGATTTATATCTTGCTTTTCTCACCAATTGTCTTGAAAATGACGGCTCACAGCTTGGTAATTACGCGGTAGATGAGAAATGTAAATAAGCGCCAATTTTTATTTAACCAGAATCTGCTGCTTGTCTGGAGTGATTTGCGCCTACGAGTAATTTCTCTCCTCGCACAGACCACGTGTTCTCTGGTTGGTCGGCGCTTGGAAAACCAGACCGGGTGAGATTGAATAGTTGGTGTTAATGTGGCATTTTCCTTTAAAATGCATTTTCCTATGTTTGGATTATTAATCTCCGACGTGAATAAGATAACAGACAGTATATGTTGTCTATAGACAATTTGAACTAGGAAGACAAAGCGAACCGACCCAAGCTTTAGGCGAATCTCAGTTTTAGTCTCAAGTTTTCGCGCGCGTTAAAAACACTGTATTCCCACTTTGTCCAACTCAGATTTTTCATTGAGATTTTTGCATAATCTTTCGAAGCTTTCTTAGTTTTTCACCTCTTAAACGGAAACGAATAAAAATATGGCGAACTGATCAAACGTGAATTCGAAATCAGCCAATGGGAAAGCCATGGGACCTTAATTCAAAAAGATTAACTATAAAAAGCTGATAAGCGACAGTTCACTTACTGAATAATAACGCTCAGTTTTCACTAAGCCATACTCTAGGTGATACTTTATTAGCTTTGTTTTGAAGATGATTTTTAACACCACTTTCTGTATCACAGGCTTTTGTCCTCGTATTCAAAGAGAATTCATTGCCTTTACCTCTAATTTTCAACTCCGGCCGTGAAGCACACTGAACATTTTTTTAAATCTATCCAACGCCGGGAAGTAACAACTGTTTCCTTTATTTTGGTCAAGGCTTAAGACAAATGAGATGTAACGGATCACATCAGTTCTATCTTTACCGCGATTACAAACAAAGCAACATCGTGGAACAAAAACAATTTGCGGCCCCAAGGGGTGATGATAAAACAATGCAAGTTTTAAAAAAGAATATTTCTCGAACCTAATTAACAATTTTTCTTTGTCTTGCGCTCGCTTTCACTGTTTGACTTGTGCGTGCATGAAGACGTTCCCCTTTGTCAAAAGCTTGCAACACAAGTTTAGAGTCAGGTTATGGACATTGTTCACAACTGTCGAGTCCCTCAGCAATTGTGGCATTGTCTAAACTTTGTTGGTTACACATAAACAGTAGTGGGATAAAACACGAACATGACGGCTGACGTTACAAAAACTGCCGATTCATGGAGGAAGGCTCGATTTCCGCTGCTCTCTCGACTGCGGAGCTTTTGCAAATCAAACATGAAAATCTGCCGTCTGTCTAGACTTTCTGAATTATCCTTTTGGGTTGTCGTCAATTTTTTCGCTAAACCAATTATCTTATGTTTGTTGTAGACCCTGCCGCAGATTTTCGTCGTATGGAATTTTTGATTCATGAAGCAGAAGCGTTAATTATGTCTTGAAGCCTGAAAAGAAAAAAAAAGGATTTTTGAAAACAAGGGTTAGTTTAGGGTTTTACGCTTATTTGCCGTTTGATTCGTATAGCTATCTTCTTAGCACGTGTAGCGGACCTATTATAAAAGTCATAAATCACAGCGACACCATGCATTTCTCCTGTCGAATTATTTCAGGTCGGTATCTCTGTAGATACGTATATTACTAATACATGTAACGTCATAAAATGCCCATCACCCTCTACACCCCTGTTGATATGATAATGACGGTTTTATTTTTCCGCTCAATAAATTGGCTTTCGGTAACTCTAGCCATACGATAATACCTTGACCACCGCGGAATTATCAGAATTATTCACATTTGTTGAACAAAAATTGTTTGTATAGCGTGAAGTTAGTCATTGAAAACTAAAATTTTGTCGAGCGATCCGGCTTGTCTGCTTTCAGATTTTTCTAAGCTCGGTTTTTTTAGTGAAGACGATGGCTATGTATTTTGATCTCGTCGCGTTATCCCATATAAAACAATGGATCTAGTTTGCATTGCTTTTGACTTTTTTTTTTAATTATATTTTTCCGTTCTTCAGCTGATCGAAGAGGAGAGCGCGTAATTTTTCATGTCCTGTCACGTGACTAAACATTGTACATGCGCCGTAACAGTATTTTTCTGAAGTCGGAAGCAGAGCGAGTGTGATGGAGGGAAAATGGTGGTTTGGTTCTTCGAATTTATATGGCTTTTGTGGATTTTGACGTCTTCTGAAGCGAGAACCACGCACAGCGGAACATCAGAAGGTTCTTCATTGTTTATTCTTTGATTTTATGTCGTTACGATCGCTGACAACATTTTTTTGCTGGGATTTGAACGTCTAATGTTTGTTTCTAACTAACTTCATCAGCTGTTCGGACTGCGTACGCTGGTTCGTACGGCAGCCGTACTACAAGATTTTCCCATGTTGAAGAGCAGGGAAAGCCGTCAAATATTAGAGAAAAAATTCAAGTGAAGGATCATGATGAAGGGAAAAATATTCAGATGGATTTTAAGCGAGGAATTTCCCACTTCAAGGAAGCCAAAATCGCCACTTCTACAGCTCGGCAAAGCAGCAACCTTACCACGGGTCGTAAAGACCTGCCGGAAATATATATTTTAGTGTTGGTGAGTTGCCTTTATTCCTGTTTTATTCGCGTCGGCGGCAGTTTCATTAGTGCATCCGGAATCGTGGCGGATTTTTTTGTTTGTTTGTGGCAGCCGAGAACACATTTTGTAGCTATCGGACAGTTGTACTTTCATATAAAGCTTATCTCCGTTACAGTTTCTATTGTGATTTTGTTTTCCCGAGCGAATTATAATAATCGTCTGTTGCTAAACAACTTTACTCGTTGACTAGAATCGGCTGATGTGGATGAAAAGAAACAATGAATTGAACGGCAGCGTTGAACTCAATTTGATATGTTTGATAGCGGTTCTTTCGAACTTGCGAATGTCGACAGCTGGGTGTTCTGTCCCTGCCAAACTTTTTAGGGCTCTACCTCGAACAAACTTCATAAAATGTGTAGGTTTGAGGGCTTTTAGAGCCAGATTTTTATTTGTATGTCAGGGCTTTTTTTCGACAAGAACCGTTAATTGAAGTTCTGTAAGTCAGACTTGAATAAGGTCACATCGCTTTCGCGCGCAGAAACGTTTTTCATTTTTTTTTTTTGCGTGATCTTTCGATCTTGCATTATCTGACCCAGTAATTATGTTCATCGGATCATCGCGCGCCACTTCTTCGGTGATTTCCATTTTAATGGGTTTGATTCGCTGAACAATCATTTCCGTGACATGTTTCATTAAACCTTCCCACACAAACAATAACTAGCGGATGTGCAGCATTGTCGACGATTCGCTGCAAAAATATTTTCCTGGTTTTCTTGCGGTGGATTTCGATTAGTGTCAACGGACCTCGATCGAGGAGGGAAAGATGGATCAATCGGCGAAACCTGAGGACCGTAAAATATGAAACCTGTTTAAGCCGGTAGAAAAACGCTTGATGTTTCCGTCATATTTCAAGTTTTATATCTAGCGGATTGTTCCCTAACGATAAGGCCTTATTAACATACAAAAATTTGTAGGTTGGAAATAGAGATATTCCTGTGCACCTGTTACTAAATGTCTAAACAAAATTTAGGGCAGGAAGGAATCTCTTTTGATGAAAGCCACCAAGTTTTTCCGGTTTGAAGTTTCACTTTTTTCATGTCTTGTGTCGTTTAGTTTTCAAGTTTCTAACGTAAAGACACGCAGTTTTAAGACATTAGAGTAGTTTTGTGATAACAGTTTTCTTTGAGAAGTACACCTGCAATAAAATAGCCTGTGTGTGGTTTGAATTAATTTAGTGTTAACGGAAACATTTTCAAAGTTTTGAGTTTTGAAGTCGAGGAAAATTGTCTATAATTGTTGGATTTCTTATCCTTGTCTTCAATTCTTTTATCCCCTGAAAAATATAGAGTGAATTTTCTCCCATCTCAATCCACTAAGAACATTAGTGAAAGAGCTTCTACAGTAAATAATGTAGTTTCTCACTTTCCATGTTTCAATGTTGTCAATAATTCCAACAGCCAATAAGAGGCTTTGTTTAGAAGAAAACAAATCAAGAATTATTGTTGACAAGAAAGAATAGCATATTATGTTGATGATTTTCTTGGTGGAAATTGGAACAGTTTTGTCAACAATATCAATTCATCTTCAGCCAATATAAAAATACAATATGACAGGGACAGAAGCAGCTTCAGAATCAGATTTGTTAATTTTTATGGTAGTCTTACGTGGTGGGTGAGAATGTTATATCATAAAAATGTATGTGCTTCATAATCTCCAGCAATGATAGCTTTGTGGAGGGCAACAATCAAACATTGGATAGTCATATCTGACTATTTTTAGATTCTTAGCATCTCGTCATTGACCATCGATATTTAAATGCAATAACCTCTTATGCTAGGCAGAATTTACAAGTAGAGAATCTACATGTGTATAAGTTATGCAAAAACACTGACAGTGCTAAATTTGTCTTGCCTTGGAACAAAAATAGAGCAATCATGTTTTGTTAAAAGTTTGGTGATAAAATCTAACCATACATCAAATTTGGGTGATGAGACCTAAATTAAAATTTTATTCAACCATTTTATTAACACAACCCAGTACGCTGAGATTAGAGATTATAAAAATTCTTCTGAAAAACAGCAATCCTTCATTATTTTAGGTTTGTATACTAGGAAATAAATAAATAAATATATATAACTAACTAACTAACTAACTAACTAACTGCAGACAGTACTGTTTCGGCCTTCTGGGCCTCATCAGTGCAGTGCTGAAGACTAGGATGGAGGCTAAGC